GAACCATCGTCTGTCTCTGCAGAAGGTGTTTGTGGACTACTCAGTGGTGCGACATGGGAAGCTGTCATCCAATCACAGAGTATTTCACTGGCCCCGCCTCCCCGCCGGTCATATGTACACATCGAAGACTGAAGGACGCTGTGAAACACAAAAAAGCCGAGGACATGAGGGTTTTTTTGTTTTCATTTGTTAGCGTTGTGTTTGTTTTTTTTACCCATAATGCCATCAGGCCCCGCCCCCTGCCCCGCCCCCCCACAGAAGGAACGTTAACTACCCGTACGAGTGTTGAAGGTGGAAGGAACATGTCGTCATTTTCTGGTGATCCTGTAGTCTGATTATTGATAGTTTGTTCCAACTCTCACTATGATGTCGGTTTTGTACATGTGAGTGTTTATTATCATTCGGTATTTGTATCACAGCAGCATTTGAGTGTTGTGGACTTTTTATTACATGTTTATAAGCGGCTTATGGCGTGTTGTTAAGCTGCTTGTGACGTGTTATTAAGGTTCATCTCAGGCTACACAGTATTTCCCAAAATGACTAAATGTTCCTTGTTTATGTCTGATTCAGTATTGATCCGTTCTAGTCGTGACCCAGATCCCTGCGTGAAGGTCAAACTGTAGCAGTCGTCATGACGACGACCTCGACGCCAGTGACCATTGATTCATCCGTTTCTCTGTAAGAAGGTTTTTCCCGTTTCACATCTGTACAGTTTCTTCTTCTTGTTTATATGTTTATATGAGATTCTTCTGTACATTATCGTTGACGTCGCCTCCTTCGGTTCTGTATCGGTTCCATGTGATGTTTTATCCTCCGACTGGACGGAGGGTGGTGGGGGGCAGACCTCCTTTCACAAACAAAGATCCAGAATCCCCCCCCCCCGGTTCTAGAGCGCTCTGGGTTCACAACATTGACAGCTCCAGAACCCGTCTCACTGTGACTTAGATCGCTGGTTCTGACCCACTCGGCCTCCTGCTGCAGGTTCTGAAGAGACGGAAACAAGGCAGCACGTTCCTCCGTGTCCTGCAGTCCCTTTTATACGGTTTAATGTCCCCTCGGGAGACACACACACACACAGATACTTCACGTTCGGTTATCGGTTCTCAGAGACGAAGGTTCTGGAATCATCTCGGCACAGTCCTCGCCGTTCTGGAGTATGTTTTAATAACGTATATGTACACACATATATATATAATATATAATGTGTATATTTGAAGTCCCCTTAAATACAAAAAGGTGTCAGAGAGCGGAGGTGTGTTTGATCCGCTCACCCGGCGCCCCTCTATTTCTTCAATCCGTGCCGCCAAAGTCTACCTGGGTACCCACAATGCACCTGGCTCCAGCCCCAAACAGCGGGTGTTTAGTCAGATGGGGGGGAGGGGTCTACGATGCATTCAGGAGGCGACGCGTTGTCCGTACTTTACGCAGCCGTTGATCTGGTGTGTGTGTGTCTGTGCGTGTTGGTTTTGCATGCCTATATAGCTCGGTGTAAGTCGCTGTGAGTTGCATGTCTCATGTGGTTCTCCGGTTCCCCGCCGCCTCCCGTTTGGTTTCTCTCCGTTGTTTTTGTTTACACATCCGTGGTTTTTATTTGTGTGCCAGAGGCTGCTGCTGTTTCCTTATTTCAGTAAAAGAGAAAAGAAAAGGAACGTCTGCCTTCCGGGTGCCGGCGGTTCTGGTCCTGGTTCCAGTTTGTGGGCCGTCCCCTTTAAACAGTGCCAACTACAGATGTGTTGTACAGCTGTGAGGAGCTCACACTATTTACTGAAATAAAACATTTCTCTGTCTTTTTCAGCTGGAGTCTGTCTCTGCTTCTGTCAATGAATAGATCAATAAAAAGTAGAAGACGTTGATGATCAAAATCAAACTGGATAAAGGAACAAAACGGTTCACTTTCATTGTCTGTTGATTGATTGATGGACAAGAGTGATTCATGTTTTTGATAATAAATATACTGACGAGTCTTCAGAAAACTGAGCTTCCTGGACATGTGGGTAAAGTGTGCTTACCTGTTTACCGGTGCACTTTATTTTTAACTTGTTTTATCCCCCTAGACCAGTGTTTTTCACGGCACACCAGTGTGCCAGTTTAGCTCAGCTTGGCTATCTCAGTTTGTCTCAGTTTAGCTTAGCTTAGTTTAGCTGTCTCAGTTTAGCTGTCTCAGTATAGCTTAGTTTAGCTGTCTCAGTTTAGCTTAGTTTAGCTGTCTCAGTATAGCTTAGTTTAGCTGTCTCAGTTTAGCTTAGTTTAGCTGTCTCAGTATAGCTTAGTTTAGCTGTCTCAGTATAGCTTAGTTTAGCTGTCTCAGTATAGCTTAGTTTAGCTGTCTCAGTTTAGCTTAGCTTAGTTTAGCTGTCTCAGTATAGCTTAGTTTAGCTGTCTCAGTTTAGCTTAGTTTAGCTGTCTCAGTTTAGCTTAGCTTAGTTTAGCTGTCTCAGTATAGCTTAGTTTAGCTGTCTCAATTTAGCTTAGTTTAGCTGTCTCAGTTTAGCTTAGCTTTTAGTTGTCTCGGTTTATCTTAGCTTAGCTGTCTCAGTTTATCTTAGCTTAGCTGTCTCAGTTTAGCTTAGCTTAGCTGTCTCAGTTTAGCTCGCAGGCTGAAGCGCCGCCGGTTCAAGACGTGCGTGGAGATGAAGCGCGTCCAGCAGCTCGGGGATGTTCGCCGGCGGTCGGCCAGCAGAGGCCGACGTGGACCTGCTCCGTGTTCTCAAATAATAAACTCATTGCGGGGTTCTGAGGCCCCAGAACCGCGAGACACGCGCATTTCAACCGGTTCACACACCTCGAGGAGGAAACGAACACCGAGTGTCGTTGTATCGTAACGTACCGTTTTCCCGCCTCGGCCACCGTACGTTCGTTACTAAGCAACATAGACGCGCGAGCACACGTGACGGGTGGTACAGCGCGAGGAGACGTGCGCGGTGCGGGGCGAGGATGTGGAGGCACAGAGCAGGAAAACCAGGAGGACAAACACACTCAACGGACCCTGCTCAATGAAAAGGGGAGAACCAGTGGAGAAATGCTGCAGCAGCTAAGAAGAGATGTATTGCACTGATTGTAGGACGTGCGGCGGTGAAATGGTTAAAGATGTCTGTTTAGTGGTTGGAACAAGCAACAAGTTACCTCCGCACCAGTTATACGCAATAAGGTGCTCTTTTTGTCTTTGTCTTAAAGAATTGTGGCTGATGAAATTGCTCAGTGGCAGACACTGGAACTAGTCCGGCCCCACAATGCACCGCTCCAGCGCGGTTCCACGAACATTCTGCATCCCGAAGACTTTCAGACCAAAAACAACCACAAACACTGATGTTTGTGTTTCCTGTTTGTAACTTAAGGAACACAGACGATTGAAATAATACATTTAACTTAACTTAAAGACAAACGTCACACCGTCATCTAAAGAGCGGGAGAGGAGGAACAAGATGACGGAGCGCCATCTTTTCCTCAATGATCTTTCTGGTTCATGTGTATGATGATTGGTGCGTTCACGGACCTTCCGTGAAAGGCGCAGCCCTCCTCTTGTTACGCTCTGCGCCTCAGCCCTCTGACCCTGAACCGGAAACCCCTGACACCCCCCCCCCATTGTGAGTGGGAGGAGTCATGATCGATGGTCACAAATGAGACGATCGGCTCCTACACAAATAAAAGACATTTTAAATGAAGTACTTAAACATCTATCAAAGACAGAAATCATACATAAACCCTTCAACAACTGTAAGAGTTGAATTATGACGGCTGACTTTTGTGTAAAATAAATAAAAAGAACAAGAGTGAAAAACAATAAATAGGTTGAAACAGTCAATTTAATTTAAAGACAGTCGTCACACCGTCATCTAAAGAGCGGGAGAGGAGGGACAAGACGACGGAGCGCCAGCTCCTCCTCAATGATCTTTCTGGTTCATGAGTATGATGATTGGTGCGTTCACGGACCCTCCGTGAAAGGCGCAGCCCTCTCCTTGTTACGCTCTGCGCCTCAGCCCTCTGACCCTGAACCGGAATCCCGCGTTATGTGTCAACGATAGCGGATCTGATTGATTAATCAGAAGTAGAATCGATATTCACGTGTTCGAAAACATTCCATTTATTCTCTATAACAGCGGTTCCCAAACTCAAGAACGCCGCGGCCCAATTTGAAATCTGCGAGGTGCCGCCGCCATCCACGCCTTTAAATCTTCGGCTCCTTTTAGAATAATTTATTTCCCCGTTAAGATGGTTCAGCTACTGTAGAGAAAAGGGCGCCGTCTCTCGCTCTTTAATCTCATGAAGTGCTCGGCGAGAACGACAGCTTTGTTTCTCCGACGCGCCCTGAAAGCAGCTCCACATCTCACGCGCTTGAGCGCCGCTCAGCATCTCGCCGTCGTAGACGAGCTTTGGCGTGTTTGGCAAAGCGCCTTGAGCGCCGTGTACAACCAGTATGGATCAACCCATTAACCAATTGATCCATATATAAGGCGCTCCGGATTATAAGGCGCTGTCGTTTTTTGAGGAAGTTAAAGCCTTTTAAATGCGCCTTGGAGTGCGGACAATGCGGTATATTGACTTTAATACCACAAGAGGGCGCCGCGTTTGTTGAACAACGACAGGCGAACAAGAGCAGCCGTTTGGAGTGAGAGCCTTATTGTTTTATTAATCTGTCCGTTTAAATTGTTTGTGCTTCATCAACTAATGTTTCACATAACTAATGTGCCGCATCATAAATATTTTTATATTAATTTAAAACTTAAAAAAATTGAAAATTAAAAAACTTTATTTATTTATTGTAAATGACCTCTCGCGGCCCACCTGCAGTACCTTCGCGGCCCACCGGGGGGCCGCGGCCCACACTTTGGGAATCGCTGCTCTATATATTCTAAGCGATAAGTAGTAAACGTTTATTTTATACTCTGATCTCACGATAACTAAATGCTGTTAGGAAAATAATAGTAATATATTTAGTAAATTAGCATTTTTAAATAAATCATCATCAATCTCATACTATCATTTACATCTCCGGGAAAGGAGACGAAACAAGAGGATGAGCAAAGCCTCGGAATGTCTGCACAGGGCAGATATGTGATCAACAATCTACATTCTATTACATTACCAATCATGATCAACAGAAACATTGTGAAGGAAGGGAGGCTGTAATGGGAAAATGATATGTAACCCTTTTAAATGCTTCATTTGTATAACCAGTTTATTAGTTGCAAGTGGTTAGATCACAAAGGCCCTGACATACGAACTGATGTCTCCCACTTGGATTAGATGTTTCCAGCGTCATAGCTGTAGAGATTGAACAGTGTTTGTTATGTCTATGACCACCTTTGTTTAAGCATGTTGGGAGAGCAAGGACACGGTCAAAGAACCAACGTGTCTCACATGGACAAGATGTTCCCAGTACCCTGGCTGTAGAGACTCAACAAGATGGTCAAAGGTTTCTGTTGACGCCACCGATATCTAAACTTAGGTATAAGAACTGTCTCGATGTGTTGGGGCAAAAAGGAGGTTCTTGACAGTCTACTGACCACGTAGCTGTTGTGACCCTTTTTCCCTTGCAAGGAAATAAACGGAGAAAAGACACACTTGACTCAGAGCCTTTGTTTCTTACTTAACGATTGTCTGTGCAAAGTCTTCCACCACAAGGCCCAGGTGGGACGCAGGAGACACAAGAAGACATCGTCCTGCTGCTCAGGAACCAGTTGTCCTCATGCAGAGGAAGCACACAGAAAGCAGACAGAAAAAAACAATGCAACAAACAAAAAACAGCGCTGCACATCACACATCAGAGGCCGGAAGTAGATTTGAAGGAGGTTATGGGACGGATTCTTTGTTGGTAGAGTAATCGATAGGGATCGTTAGTGATCGATTAATCTGCTCCACACTGCGGGAGGCGGCAGTGCGCCTTTGTTGAACGCCATCCGCGTCAGAGCTCAAAAGAAGAAGAAGTATTCCAGATATCGCGGTACGTCCTCTCGGCTATGACGTCACCACGTCGAGATCTCGCCCATTCCGATAAAGATGGCGGCTCCCTGACGCTGCATGTGGCTTCGGAAGGAGGCGAACTCGTTGATATCAGCGTATTACGTCGTATTTAGTCTCACACAAAGCGACAGAAGCGGAGGAGGCGAAGCTTCGAGCTTCTCCGCGCGGAAGTCAAGATGCAACACGACGACGTGAGTTTGAGGAGGACGAGCTAGCGTGTTATGCTAGCTGCTAATGCTAACGAGCCGAGCGCTCACTATTCGACGGGTGGTAACTAGCTTATTTAAAGCATGTAGTTATAGTGTTATAACATATCGTTATGTTGAGCAGCAACATTAGCGCGCTAGCAGAAAACATCCGTTTTATTTCAACAGGAATATCGATCTAACGCCAGACCGGAAGTAACGAGAGTGTTAGTTTGCAATTTTTAATTTTTAATCTCGTGTTTTATTAATCTGCCAGTAGTGTTTCATATTTTAACAACGAGGAAGGTCTGCTACTTTCTAAAGTTTGACATTATTCTACGTAATGCTGAACCTTTATGGGAACAGTTTTATTTATTATCATATTTCTCTTTGAAAAAGCTCTCGTGGTAAATTTACATATTGTGACTGTGTATTCCATATATATAATGTGTATATATATAAATAATGTGTGTGATGAATGTGATTCAGGTGATCTGGGACATAATTGGAAACAAACAGTTCTGCTCCTACAAAGTAAAGTAAGTTTATCTCTTTATTCACTCTTCACGTGTTCATTGTCTGTTTGTTAGATGTCTGATTGAATCATCGCGTATCTTCATCAGTAAATGTTTCTCCTCTTTAGTTTTTATTGGAGTCCACTGAGAGAGATGCTGAGTATGAATATTGTGTCTTTGTCTCCAGGACGAGGACTCAGGGCTTCTGTCGGAACGAGTACAACATCACGGGATTATGTAACCGGTCGTCCTGCCCGCTGGCCAACAGCCAGTACGCCACCATCCGGGAGGAGAAAGGTGAAGGTCAAAGGTCAACGCCTTCGCTTTAGGTGGCGATGCGGACAACCTTTTTATATTATTTATGTTTTATTCATATTGTGGTTAAAAACTGTAATTTATCGTATTCATAAACTACTTGATCATCTTCATGAAAAGCGTCTGAATAATCAGATGAATAGTTTTTATCAGTGCATGTTTATGAATTTCACCTCCAAACTAAATTCTGATTGTCAATTACAAACCTAAGGAAAGATGTGATGTTTATACAAGTCTTTCATTTTTAGAGAAACTCATCTTCTAACTATATTTGATTCACTCATGGTTTTTAGTCAAATCTTAATCCCTGAAGTGGAAACAAAATACTCGTATTTGATGAAACAAGACATCAATATGCAGATAAATAAAACGCCAAAGAGAAGAACAGACGCATTGACGAGTATTTACAGATTCATTTCAGCCTCCTAAAGTCTCCGCGCTGTGTTCTGATCTCAGGTCAGTGTTTCCTCTACATGAAGGTGATCGAAAGAGCAGCGTTTCCTGCCAAGATGTGGGAGAAGGTGAGCTTCATTTACTCACCACTTGCCATGCTAATGTTAGCTCGATGCTCGCGTACGTCATTTGTGGTTGCTCGTTATTATTCATCATGAATTACACTGTTTGATGGATTGTTTTCAGTTTTAAATGATGATGATGGTTCGCAGGTGAAGCTCTGCAAGAACTATGAGAAAGCTCTGGAGATGATCGATGAGAATCTCATCTACTGGCCTCGCTTCATTCGGCACAAATGCAAACAGCGCTTCACCAAAATCACCCAGTACCTCATCCGCATGCGCAAACTGGTGCTGAAGAGACAGTGAGTACCACCCAGTACTAATACTACAGTACTGTCCACTAGTCCCACGTACTAATACTGCAGTACTGTCCGCTAGTCCCGTGTACTAATACTACAGTACTGTCCGCTAGTCCCGCGTACTAATGCTACAGTACTGTCCGCTAGTCCCGCGTACTAATACTACAGTACTGTCCGCTAGTCCCGCGTACTAATACTACAGTACTGTCCGCTAGTCCCGCGTACTAATGCTACAGTACTGTCCGCTAGTCCCGCGTACTAATGCTATGCAGTACTGTCCGCTAGTCCCGCGTACTAATACTACAGTACTGTCCGCTAGTCCCGCGTACTAACACGATGCAGTACTGTCCACTAGTCCCACGTACTAACACGATGCAGTACTGTCCACTAGTCCCACGTACTAACACTATGCAGTACTGTCCACTAGTCCCACGTACTAACACTATGCAGTACTGTCCACTAGTCCCACGTACTAACACTATGCAGTACTGTCCACTAGTCCCACGTACTAACACTATGCAGTACTGTCCACTAGTCCCACGTACTAACACGATGCAGTACTGTCCACTAGTCCCACGTACTAATACTGCAGTACTGTCCACTAGTCCCACGTACTAACACGATGCAGTACTGTCCACTAGTCCCACGTACTAATACTGCAGTACTGTCCGCTAGTCCCGCGTACTAATGCTATGCAGTACTGTCTGCTAGTCCCGCGTACTAATGCTATGCAGTACTGTCTGCTAGTCCCGCGTACTAATGCTATGCAGTACTGTCTGCTAGTCCCGCGTACTAATGCTACAGTACTGTCCGCTAGTCCCGCGTACTAATACTACAGTACTGTCCGCTAGTCCCGCGTACTAATACTACAGTACTGTCCGCTAGTCCCGCGTACTAATGCTACAGTACTGTCCGCTAGTCCCGCGTACTAATGCTATGCAGTACTGTCCGCTAGTCCCGCGTACTAATACTACAGTACTGTCCGCTAGTCCCGCGTACTAATGCTATGCAGTACCCCTCCGCTAGTCCCACGTACTAATACATTACATTATATTACATGTCATCTTAGCGGACGCTTTTATCCAAAGCGACGTACAATAAGTGCATTCAACCATAGGGTACAAACTCAGGAGAACAAGAAACAAGAAAGTGTGATTTCCTCAAATAAGCCAATTTACAATTTGCTATAGATGAGTGACGTTACAAGTACAGTTTAAGTGCTACAATTTGTTAGTCTTTAGTCGAGGTAGAGTCTGAAGAGGTGTGTCTTGAGTTTGCGGCGGAAGATGTGAAGGCTCTCTGTGGTCCTGGTGTCTTCAGAGAGCTCGTTCCACCATTTCGGCAGTACTGTCCGCTAGTCCCGCGTACTAATACTGCAGTACTGTCCACTAGTCCCGCGTACTAATGCTATGCAGTAGTAAAATTGTTTTATCTCATTGGTAGAAAAGTACTTTTCAGAATAAGACGGGAATAGAAGTTGTCTATAGTTTGTATTTTTATAGTTCACAATAAGCTACATCTGTTCCTGGTGTAGAAATCAAACGCACCTCTGAATTACTTTTACCTGCCGAAAGTTCGACACAATCCAGAAATAAAACTTGTTTTCCTCTCGTCCTTCAGGAGGAAACTGGTTCCTCTCAGCAGGAAGGTGGAGAGGAGGGAGAAGAGGAAGGAGGTGAGTGACGGAGACACACACACACACACACACACACACCATCAACAGTTCACCTTCAACATTTAAATTTAATTAAATTAATTTCTCTAATCTTTCCCGTCTTCAGGAGAAAGCTCTGATCGCTGCTCAGCTGGACAACGCCATCGAGAAGGAGCTTCTGGAGCGACTCAAGCAGGGAACGGTACGCCGCCCCCCCCCCCCCCCCCCTCCAGTTAACATGTTATATGACGTGGAAGCATTTATTCTCCCGCTTGTGTTTTCAGTACGGAGACATCTACAACTTCCCCGTCCACGCATTCGACCGAGCTCTGGAGCAGCAGGACGAGGAGAGCGAGGAGGAGGAGGAGGAGGGCGAGGACGAGGAGGAGGAGGACGAGGTGATGAAGGTCATCTTGTGTCCCCGTGTGAGTTCAGCTGAGTGCTGTGACGTAACCAGTCTTCTTCCTGTCTGCAGGACGTCGGGAAGAGGGAGTTTGTTGCAGAGGAAGAATTGGAGGAGGACGACCTGAGCGACTTTGAGGTATTAGAAGGAAAAAAAGATTCCTTCAAAATAAAAGTCCTGCTCCTGAGTGGAAATGGAACAATGATGATTACAGGGTCAGAGTATCGTTTGGGTTTTGGGGGTTTACCCCTGACCCGATACCGGTGCCTTAACTCACTTTTATTTTTTTTGCCAAAGCTATTTTTTCTTCTTCAGATTGAACAATATATTAACTGTTTACATTATATAATTCCAGTGTTTCCCCGTCATGTAAAAGCCAACCAGCTGTATATTAGAATTTGGGTAAAATAATTAGATGTTTGCTCGCTGCAGGAACTAAAGACGTGTAACATAGCGAAAAGCATTTGTTATGTATCGACGTCATGATTGCCGCACGTCGTCGTTCTACAGAGACGTGACTGAACTTACTTGTGTGTTTAGTTCACGCTTTGCTGCGTAAAATAAAGACTAAAGAATCCAATGATTTCCTTCCATTCGCGTGAGGAAATGAAGTCGCGAGTCTGCAGAACGCCGTCACTCTGTTTGCAGCTACGAGGGAGGAACGGACCGTCGGACGGGGAGATGAATGTAAAGAGAAGGCGGGTGGCGAGCTCGCTACCGTCGCTGCACAAGCCGTATGCTATCGTTAGCTGTTGCGGGGACGGCGTCATAGTGTCAATCAAAGGGTTGTTTTTTAATCTGCGTTAGTTAGTTTAGTTTGAGGAGCTCATAACTTTTTAGGGTTTGTTTGTCTCGACTGTTTCACATGATACTCGTAGAATAATTTGTGTTTTCACTCTAAGGACATGAACAAATTGAGGACGAGCAGCGACGAGGAGGAGGAGTCCAGTGAGGAGGAGGAGGAGACGAAGGCCTCCAGGTCAAAGGGCAAATCTCCGGCTAACGGCTCGGCGCCGAGGAGGAAACGGGCGTTCGTGGAGATCGAGTACGAGACGGAGCCCGCCCCCAAGAGCAGGGCCTCGTTATGATGTCACTGCCCTCTGCTGAGGACACGCCCCCATCGGGCTGTCGGGTAATGGACATGGACGAATCAGATCACCGAAAGTGACTGCGGTGTTTTATTGAATCACCAGTTTGTGATAATGTCTGAAAAAACATGTTTGTGTCAATAAATCCATTTGAGAGAATCTTTTGAACGTATAAAACTGTTAATATAACATTAAGTTCTAATGCAACGGTTTTAGAATCTGCATTGTGACGAATTCAACATGAAGCTTTTACTTCAAACATTTCAGGAACTTCTGATTTGGCCCAAAGGTCAGATAGTTTTTACAGCCCAAAATGACAAATTAGCCTCTGAGGGCGTTAGTCTGTGAACGTCCGTCATCCTGACCTTTGACCCTCACATCAGCACAGGAAGAACTAAAGGAAAACCAGGTGGTAAATTTAATTAATAAACTAACACTAGTTTGCTAAAAGCCAAACAAATCCAGCCCAGTTTATGCTCCACGACTTTGTTCCCTCGTTGGTGGAGATCTCCCTCCATGAATCAGAGGCCATCCGGCGTCCTCATAGTCCGCCAATGACGGCTTGTACAAGCGCTCATATTTAAAAGCTCTTCAATCTGATCCGTTCTCTCGTAAACGTTCTTCCTTTTAATAACGGCCGTATTGTGCTGTGAAAACGGAGACGTGAGACTCCGTAAAGGACGCAGTCAGAGACCGATCACAGCCTGCTGCTGCAGGACGCTGCAAAGCTTTAGACGCTGGTCTAGAAAAATGGGTCAACGCACGCAAGGAGGTGTGAAAGGACACGCAAGGGACACACAGGGGACACGCTTCGGGGGTCTTGTGTGTCCCCTGCGTCGCTCTGAAATTGCAGAAGCATAAACTAAGCTTAAATGTTCTCAAGGTTAAGAACTCAGCAGCTGGTTAGCCTAGCTTAGCATAAAGACATGGGGAACAGTTAGCCGGTCTCTTTTTATGAGGTATGTGTCCACACAGCTAAAGGTCGTCGTGGTGCAGCGGGTGAGCTGGGAACCGAAAGGTTGGTGGTTCAAGTCCCGGCTGCCCCTTGTCTCAAGTCAAAGTGTCCCTGAGCAAGACACCTATTGGCTCCCCGGGCAAAATGTGAAAAAGCCATGAGATTAAAGTAAGTCGCTTTGGATAAAAGCGTCTGCTGAATGACCCGTAACGTAAGAAAGAAGCACACAAGGTCACATTTTATATATATACTTTATTTACAAACGGCTGAACCTCCGAGCTTCAGCCAGAGAGAATCACACATTTAGAATATAAATAGTCAGAGACTCATAAGCAGTTATGTGTTTTTTACTTAGACAGAAAAAAAATCCGACATTACTGAAGGAGAAGAATGAAATGTTCAAAGCGTTAATTTACTCACTCTGACCCAAGTTTATGATTAATTCACGCTCATGTTTCAGAGCTGTGAGGACTTAAGTTCTTACAAACACTGATTTAAAAATGACGCTTGGTTGCATTCAGACTTTAGTCGATTCGTCAGAACCAGAAGAGGGAAGTTTAAAAAAAGAGCTGAGCGTGTTCGGTGGGTCGCCCCCCGGGGGGCCGAGGGAGGAGCCAACGCGCGTTAGTGAACGTTGGCGTTCGGTGGGTCGCCCCCCGGGGGGCCGAGGGAGGTTTTTCTTAAAGTGAGGAGGAGGAGCTTCACTCACAAAACGAAGGCGGCGTCTGTCCATCAATCAGAAGACGGCGAGCGGAGAAGCCCCGCCCCCTCAAACAGTTGAAAATACCCCTCAGACGTAGTGACGAGTTAAGAACACCGGGTGTGAGCGGGACACTGAACCAGACGAGACCTGGACCCGACCGACGTGGCGTGTGAGCGGGTCAAAGATAAGTTCATACAATAATTATGCGTTTACTCATCAAACATGTTACATGTTACATGTATGATAAATAACAAAGGATTTTTAGATTCAGAACAGAAATATTCAGGATAATAAAAAGGACGCCGTTGACCTCGAGCTGACTGGGGGTCACTGGGTTCTGGTTCTTCGAAGGGTTTGGTCCGATCCGTGTTTACAGTTAACTGGAATTAAGACAGACGATGTGATTGACACACGGGACATTAGTTGGACCTTCAAGGAGACACGTTAGATGATATCTGGCTCCACAGGGGACGGATCACCTCTTTGAGATGCTGCTGTTGGTTGGTGGTCTAGATGTGGGCGCGAGGGGGTCTCACTAAGCGCCGAGCCGTAGACCGGCGCACATTAAACCCCCTAGTGGGACCCGGTCAGGGGGAGGCTCTGGATTTCGGGGATCAAAGGTCGTGTAGTGAGCTGGTCCAGGACCGGACCACACACGCGTCTTTGTGGGTACTGGATTCGTGGTGGTTTTCCTGATCTGGTGGTCTTGAGGGGCTGGAGGTTTTGGCTTCACGGGTAAGTGTGAACCCAGTCTGCATTGGGGGGGGGTCTAGTGGGGGGTCTGTATCTGTGGTTAGCAGCTGCAGCCCTCTTTGGGGGGCTGGCTGTCGGCGTTGAGGCGGCCCCCCTGCGGTGCTGAGGGTTTGTGCTGAACCCCCGACTCGGCCGCGTTCAGGTCCAGGCTGCCATCCTGGATGTTCTGGTAAATCCTCTTGGCGGCTTCCAGGAACGCCTCCTCCACGTTCTCCCCTCTGAGGAGCGGGACAAGGACATGAGACACGGAGCAGGTCTCTGACGCCGTCCCACAATAACCCACTGAGACCTCCAGGGTCCCACTCAGAGGGCCTCTGTGGTTAAAGGGTTCATCATGAGCCCGTCGCCCGTTGTGTGCGTGTGCGTGTGTGTGTGCGTGCTGACTCACGTCTTGGCGCTGGCCTCCAGGAACAGTAACCCTGGAACAGGAAGTAGATTCATGGTCACTCTCAGTTCTCACTTCTCACCCAAACACAAAGAGACGTCTCACCGTTCTCCTCCGCGAACTGTTTGGCCTCCTCGTAGGTCACGTCCCTCTGGGCCTCCAGGTCGGCCTTGTTCCCGATGAGGATGATCACCTGCACGCGCACACACACACACACACACACACACACACACGCGCACACACGCACACACGCACACGCACACAAAATGGAATTAGAAACATTTAGAGACTTTAACCTCTAATCTCGAAGGATTTTCCAAAGGATGTGGACCCGGGGAACGCACACTTCCATCAGAAAAAATACCTAAATAAATTGTGATATTTCACAAAAACTCAATCCTTTATTCTTCATTTTTAAATCTCTCCACAATTAAACCAAACAATTAAAACATTAAATTCTGTGCTGCTCAGCGAAACTATGACGTCATGAGTGAGTCATGTGACCATAAATCACAGAAGCTGTGAGTGAGCATCTCACATTTAAATGTGTGAGTGGTTTAATATATTTATATGATATATTTAATAAATGATTCACCGTGTTCGGGTTGGTCAGGTTTCTTGCGTCCGTCAACCAGCTGCTGAGGTGATTATAAGTACTTCTCCTGAAGACAGAGACGCAGTTATTCACGTACGATCAGGCGGATGTGACCCCCCCCTCCCGACGGTACCTGGTGATGTCATACACCATGAGGGCCCCGGCGGCCCCCCTGTAGTACGACCTGGTGACGGCCCTGAAGCGCTCCTGACCGGCCGTGTCCCAAATCTGCAGTTTCACCTTCTGACCGTTGACCTCCATGATCCTGGTCCCGAACTCCACCCCGATGGTGTGGGGACAGTCCGCCATGACTACACACACACACACACACACACACACACGATGACGTCACTGATGTGTCTCTGATCATTTGACATTGTGAACAACCAGGAGGAGGAGCTAGTAACGTTAGCAGCTAGCAGCGAACTAACAGAGGTTCCCTTCAGTTACATTATGATGCGTTCAAGCTCTATTGCATATTAACAAATGGAAGACTGTGAATCTGTTAATACGCATCAGTGATCAATAATTAGTATCGGCAGGAATAAAACAGAATGTGCGGCTTATTGTTCACTCACATTTCTTTTCAGTGAACTGATGCAGCAGACAACTCTTCCCCACTCCCATGTCACCTGGGGGGCAAACGTAAAGACAGACGCCATATTAACACGGCCCTGGTGTGTGAACGTCATTCATTGCGTCGCTGCGATCACTCGTGTGTCCAGTGGAGCGAGCGAAGCACCACCAGCTTCATCGGGGCCACGAGGTCATCGGTCCGCGGGGCTCCTCCCACTCACCGATGATGATGTACTTGAAGATGTACGAGTAGTTGTACGGTGCCGCTGTCATCGTGATGCTGTGAGGAAGGACAAAGGAAAGGGCTGATTTAAATCAGTCCACACGGGGCCACATCAGTCCACACGGGGCCACATCAGTCCACACGGGGCCACATCAGTCCACACGGGGCCACATCAGTCCACATCAGTCCACATCAGTACACATCAGTCCACATCAGTACACATCAGTCATCAGTCCACATCAGTCCACACGGGGCCACATCAGTACACATCAGTCCACACGGGGCCACATCAGTACACATCAGTCCACACGGGGCCACATCAGTACACATCAGTCCACACGGGGCCACATCAGTACACATCAGTCCACACGGGGCCACATCAGTACACATCAGTCCACACGGGGCCACATCAGTACACATCAGTCCACACGGGGCCACATCAGTACACATCAGTCCACACGGGGCCGCATCCTGTCAAGAGTTATGATGCTGAAGGTTCTAAATTAGCAACAATGCTTGTGATTGTTCAATGAACTTTGTAAAAATACTGAAAAAACACCGGTTATTTATTCTTTAAGATCCAGACCAGATCAAAGACGCGAGTTGGGGTCTGATCTGGACTAGATAATCCCAAAGACCCCGTCAGATGATGGAATCACTGTAAACAACGTATCTTGGGTGGACGTGGCGCAGAAGTAGAGAGGAAGACACAGAACCTCTAATTGTTCCCCGGGCAAAAATGTAAGAAGCCGCGGGTTAAAAATGTAATGTAAGTCACTTTGGATAAAAGCGTCGGCGTAATGACATGTACAATACTAATGTAGTATTGTGATTTCTTTCTGAAAAATCTTAAATTGACTTAAAGCAGGAGTCGTCTCTGAGATCATCTCCTGCGGATGGAGTTTTAGAGCAGTAACTTGGTGGATCTGGTCTAATGTCCTCAGGGGAAGAAATAAGATAAATCGCTCTTATTGTTCTAATTTCACAAATAAAAATGCTATTACAGATCTGAAACTGAAAAGCCTCTCAGAGACCATCTAGTCCAGCTTTGATTTGAGGAGTCTTAATTGAAGGAGTTTCTGATCGGGACCTGGTCTCATGGGGTCTAGCTAAGACAAAAACAGTGAAAGCTCCTTTTTCTCCAACAGAAATCTTTAAACAGAACAAACAAAAGGAGGCAGCCGGCGATGCTAACATACGGCTAGGCTAACACACCGAGCGCAGCTCACGGTACGAGCCGTTAGCCACCGTGACAGTCCCGCAGTGTGAGACCGGACCTCTGACCAGAAGTACTAAACCCCGTCAGCTGACTGCCTTCTCCGGGCAACACCTCTCAATCCCTCGGTGTTAGCTTAGCTCCGCAGCTAACCGGCTAAGGGCTGTCAACGCCTTGCTAATAGGCTAACAGGCCGCTTTTACCGCGGCAATAACGACGCAACAAAGCAGCGAGCCGGAAAGAGTCGCACGCACGGTGTTTTTACCTTGGGTCCAGGTGTCTATCTAACCGGTAAACGTGATTAAACGGACGATTTCACGGGTAACGTTATCTTTGTTAGCCAATTAGCCCGGTGATCCGCCAGGAAGTCTCTTCTCTCTTCCGCGATTCTTCTTCTCCTGCAACAAACACGGGAAACACCGCGAGACTTGGAGACGTCTACGCCCCCAGCGGACGAGAGGAGCAACACAAGGCGATTCGCTCAGGTGGGATTTGGGTTATTTAATGATACATAAAATAATCGACACTAACACTGAATTACTTACCTATATTCATCGTTAAAGGGTGAACGGGTGAGTGCTTTTGATTGTTCTATTTTGAACTGACAGCCTGCAGAGGATTTATTAAAAACCTTAAAGGCCGGTTTACTGCGTAATATGTGACATGCAGGTGGAGCTCACGTGATCACCTGCAGACATATAAAGTGCATTAAAAAACCCTACAAACTTGTGAACTGTGCACCATGTTTAACTATGATTCAACAGACTCACGTTTACAACAGAACAGAATTCAAACTTTACTATCAACTGAAAATGAAAGAACACGAAACACATTCCAAAGAAAAACAAACAAAATAGAGAACACTGAAAATATATACTATAAAAGTTCCAATTGAGGTATTTTTAGACTGTCGTTTTACTACTTTTACTAATATATTTAAAATATATAAGATAATAGGATACAATATAATGTACACAAGTGATTTAAAACTAAAATAAATTTGTAAAAGTTTCAATATATATAAAAGTATAGTATACATATATATAGTATAATTATACAGATTATTATAAAACACAGTAATGGTACAAAATAAATGTCAGTGATGTAAATAACCATAAATTACAATGTGCAAATTATTATATTCTAAAATTGTGAAGACCACATGAGAAAAAATGTGAGATTAGAATATCTAAAACTAATAAATGGTAAAAGTGAAAACACAGTCGATTTCTGCTTTACAGATGAAACAGCAGCTGTCTTCATATGGAGTTAATACAATTAATATAGTTAGTCTTTTATGGATTGAACGCGGATGAGCTTTTACAGAGAAATGTTCAAACTACACAGCTGATCATGAATTCTGAACAATTAGGGGTTAGGTGTCTTGCTCAGGGACACTTCAACATGGGGCAGCCAGGGATCAAACCACCAACCTTGCATTTCCCGTCTCGCCCTCTACCCCTGCGCCACGACGACCCTTAGTGATAAACTAACGTGTTCATCAGAGTCTTTATCACACACGTAAATATTTACATGTTTCGTCAACTTAGAAGACAATCAATCAATAAAATCAGACCACTAATACACAACTCAAGTCATGAGTTAAAGCTGCATTCTCTGTAGTGACCAGCAGGGGGCGACTCCTCTGCTCCCACAGACGTCTATGAGGAAATGACTCTACTTCTCTGTAGTGACCAGCAGGGGGCGACTCCTCTGCTCCCATAGACGTCTATGAGGAAATGACTCTACTTCTCTGTAGTGACCAGCAGGGGGCGACTCCTCTGCTCCCATAGACGTCTATGAGGAAATGACTCTACTTCTCTGTAGTGACCAGCAGGGGGCGACTCCTCTGCTCCCATAGACGTCTATGAGGAAATGACTCTACCTCTCTGTAGTGACCAGCAGGGGGCGACTCCTCTGCTCCCATAGACGTCTATGAGGAAATGACTCTACTTCTCTGTAGTGACCAGCAGGGGGCGACTCCTCTGCTCCCATAGACGTCTATGAGGAAATGACTCTACTTCTCTGTAGTGACCAGCAGGGGGCGACTCCTCTGCTCCCATAGACGTCTATGAGGAAATGACTCTACTTCTCTGTAGTGACCAGCAGGGGGCGACTCCTCTGCTCCCATAGACGTCTATGAGGAAATGACTCTACTTCTCTGTAGTGACCAGCAGGGGGCGACTCCTCTGCTCCCATAGACGTCTATGAGGAAATGACTCTACTTCTCTGTAGTGACCAGCAGGGGGCGACTCCTACTGCTCCCATAGACGTCTATGAGGAAAGAACTGTGAACTGGGACTTTGTTTGTGTTTTCTTCTTACAGCTTTAACTATTTCATCAAGGTTACCTGTAATAGTTACCTACAAATCTTAAATACCGAGATGCATCGTCCAGAGTGCCAAAACAGGCAAACCAACAGCTGACGTCACGTTTGTTCGGTCTGGAGAAAACTTGACGTCATCTGTTGGTTTGTGGTTGATTTGAGCCTCAAGATACAAACACGAATAAAATGGTTCACACACTTCAGGTGTTGATGCCCTCTCACTCTTGCTTGATTTGTACGAGTATAAATGTGTCAGCAAATTGGATCAGTGTTACGTTAGAAACACACATCCAGTTAGTTCAGAGCAACTCCACGTACGACCTCAGAGGCTCCTTCAGCTTAGAAAGTGATGATGATGACGAAAATGATGATAAAAATGATGATGATGATGATGATGGTGGTGAGGATGATGATATTGATGATGGGGATGTGGTGATGATGGTGGTGAGGATGATGATACCGATGATGGGGATGATGGTGATGAGGATGATGATAATGATGATGGTGATGTGGTGATGATGGTGGTGAGGATGATGATATCGATGATGGTGATGATGGTGATGAGGATGATGATAATGATGATGGGGATGTGATGATGGTGGTGAGGATGATGATATCAATGATGGTGATGATGGTGATGATGATGATGATAATGATGATGGGGATGTGATGATGGTGGTGAGGATGATGATATCGATGATGGGGATGATGGTGATGAGGATGATGATATCGATGATGGGGATGTGGTGATGAGGATGATGATATCAATGATGGGGATGATGGTGGTGAGGATGATAATGATGATGATTCAAGGAGCAGCTTTGGTTTCCCATTCCTGTAAAAACAGAAAAATGGCCAAATGATGTGAATGTTGTTATTGTGCGTTTCTAAAAACAATGAGAAGTAAAATATTGAAAACTTTGCATTCAGTCCAAGTCATCGAGGTTGGAAGAGATTTATTTAAGGTTAGGACATTACAATCACCACCGTCTGTTGTTCTGTGATTATACTACGCTGTTGTGTTGTTGTTGCAGACACACTAAATGCTCCCGTTGCAATGTTTGTGCCGTTGTGTCACAATGCCTCATGCTGTGAAGTTATTAACCAACCACTTGACCTCCTGACGTTCCTGAAACTAACACGTCGATTCACGACGTTTCTGTGACAAAGAGTTTATACCAAATATATTCACGAATCATCCGCTGACGTGTTCTCTGGGGACCAGGTTGAACGGACATGAACGTGAGCTATTAGACGGTAATAAAGTATCATAGAGAACAGGAAGCAGTGAAGAGAGAATAAGAAGCAGTCAACTGATCAGGGTGTCAAGCTAAATGTGTTGTTGATTCTAGTGTTTGAAGTTAATTTGGTTGCTGGTTTGCTTTAGTTCTTTCACTTGTTTAGTGGCAGTTTGTGTTCTAGACTCTATTAGGTTAACTGGCAGTGTGCCCTCCTCACTCTGCTGGGTTTCACTTGATCTACGTCTGTTCTGCCTTCTCTTCTGAATCAAATAAGACTTGAATCCTTAAACTCTCAGTTTGTCAAAAGGCCACATGGTGATTGTTCACTATTACGGCGTCAAGCAAACAGTGTTTTGCATTTTGAGGCGTTTCTGTCGAGGCCAATCGACCTTTTGTCTCCTAAACGACGGGGGAGAGGTCAGCGCTGCTGTGGCCGACTCCCACTAACGAGGGAGGATTTAACTAGAGGTCAAGTGAAGCGTTAGCTTAGCCTCGCAGCACGAGACGAGCAGGACAAAAGACAAAAGAGTCTTTTGTGGGAGTCAAGACGAGCAGGACAAAGACTCGGGAATCCAACCCGACATCCCGACCTCTGACCTCTCCGCTCTGCATGTGATAAACTGCTTGTTCCTCCTCCTGAGAGCAAAACACTCCACTAGATCTCCACTCTTTGCTGTCCTGCTCCTAAATGGTGGAAGGAGGTCTCTGAAGACATCAGGACCACAGAGAGCCTTCACATCTTCAGACTAAAGACACACCTCTTCAGACTCTACCTCCACTAACACACTAACTAACTGTAGCACTTACATTGGACTTATAATGGTTCTTATCTGATAATATAAATAAACGCGTCAGCTAAATGACATGTGATGTAAGAAGAGGAAGCAGTGAGGGGAGATGCTCACCTTCCTCCTCTGGAAGACCTTCCCATGCTCGATGAACAGAGAGGAAGGAGCTCGTCTCAGGGAGATCTTAGCCGAGGCCGTGCGACGCAGCAGAGGGTTCAGGAAACCCACCTGAGACCAGCAAGGACCAGCAGAGACCAGCAGAGACCAGAAGGCAGCGTTAGAACAAGTAGTACTTGTACGCTCTGAATCCACATGATTATGTATATGTGACTGTTTATATATTCATATAAACTGAATCTATTCTATGGTCATTATTATTACATGTCACCATCACTATGTACCAGTTTCATATCACTGGACCCGTTTATATATTTATTAGCATGTAAGATGTACAGATGTAACTATGATGATGTGACGCACCTGAGCGCGCTCACTGCAGACGGCCAGCGACTGTCTAAAAGAGGTGCGCTTGTTTTTCAGCCCCGCACACGCCAGGTTGCTCTCCGACTCCGCCCTCAGTGGCACCGTCCTCGTCCCCGTCAGCTCCAGCTTCTGAACGCCGCGCTCCTTCCTGCCTGAAGCGTTCAGGGCCTTTACCTCAAAGGGCGGCTGCTGCTGCTGCTGTTGTTGTTGTTGTTGTTTGTGTACAAGCTGAGACTCACTGTAGTTGTTGTTGCTCACGGAGGCTCCGGACCAGACGCAGCCGAGTGGAGCCTGAAGCCCACAAACACGGATTGTTTCCATCACCGAATCATCTTCGTGAGCTCTGCATGCAGCGTGAACGTGGTGGTTCGTACCATGTGCTCCAGGACGGAGGTGTTGCAGTAGATGGGCTGCTCCTGGACGTTTCCACTCAGAGAGAAGGGGTCCACCATGTAGGGGTTGCAGGTGGGGAACCTTCTAGTCTGAAGCCCACTGAGAAGACAACACGGGTAACACCAGAGGAGGAGGAGAAAAAGGGGGGAGGGGGAAAGAGGAAGATGAGATGAAGAAGATGAAGGACAACATGAAGAATCAATAGTAAATATAATCAATCAAAAAATAGTAGAGTTGTAGTAGAAGTAAGTTGTGGTGAAAGGTTTACAAACACCTGTAGAGAACATAATGTCACGGCTCTCTGGAGGTTCCTGTTACTTCTACTAGTCTGGGACAGAACTGGTGCCGTTCAGTTAAATGTGACATGGACTTGTTTCTTCAGCGTAGTCCACGTGTTCTCAATCCAAGACCCCGATTCCAGCCTGCTTCAGTGGCTCTATTACCACGCTTGATGAGTGTTTGGGGTCATCGTCCTGTTGGGACACCCAACCACCCAAGACCCGACCGTCGGGCGGATGATTAACTGCAGCAGCGGCCACCAAAGCGCCAAAGTGGAGAGAAACTGTCCAATGGACATGTAACCAAATATTAGCACGGCTGTGTGTATATTTCTGACCTTTTAACCCGTAATAAAGTCATAAAAGAACCAAACTTTATGAATGTTCTTTGTGACAAAGAAGCATCTGTTTCTCGCTCAGAGGAAAATCAGACCAGTAGAATCAGGAAACATTTATTGGCAAAATATCTGACGAATGAGTCACGACGTTATGTTCTCTACAGGTGTTTGTCACCTGTATAATCAGTAAATATGGTTACTAGCCGGGTCCACCTGAGAGCTCCACCTGTGGTCTCCGGGGTGACGGAGGCTCCGTCCCGCAGCAGCTTCAACCATCGCTGCTTCTCCCCTGAGCTGCTGACCTGCGGGTGGGAAGCACACATGAGAAGGTCAATGGATCCAAAAGGAGCGCTTCCTGCTTGGCTCACCTCCAGCACGGCCAGCTGGTCGCCGAGCATGCTCAGTGTGATGCGGTGGGAGCGCGCCGTGTCGGGTCCGTCTGTGACATCACATCCTCTCAGCCGGACGGTGTACTGAGGCGCCCTCTCCTCCACCTCCTCCACCTCCTCCTCCTCCTCCTCCTCTCCGAACATGTTGAGAAGACCCGCCTCCACCCGACACAGCAGACTCTGCCACTGACAGTTCATCAGCACGCTGAGGACACCTGTCAATCAAACGCACCCCGGGGTCAGAGGTCACTGCCACGACGCCGATTCGTCCATGAATGAATTACGTTGATGTTGGAGTCTTATCATCTAGGTACTTACAAAGACTTTACTTTACTTGAGTATTTCTACTGGAGGGTCTCTTGTACCTTTTCCTTCTAATTATGAATTTAAAAAAATATGCAAAATAAAAGGAATCTAAAAAATAGATTTAAAAAATAGGTCAATGGAGAGAATATTTTCAAATGAATCTAATAAAGAGATTTAAAAAAGTCAAACAAAATAAAATTGAATGAAACAAATAGATGACAGATTCTGATTCTGAATGTAAAGTAAAGTAACGTATTCCTGATGTACTAGTATACATTATAGGGGGTACTGCTACTACTATAATACTACTACCAATATTACTACTACTAATAGGTCCCAAATAATGAGTACCTTTGTGTTTGTTGATCCTGCAGAAAGGTTTCTCCTCCTCGGAGTCCATGTGGACCAAACTGGACTGAAGACACCACATTGTCACGTGTTATTGTTCTGTGATACTACACACACACACACACATATATACGTATATATACACATATATATACCCTGCAGGAGGACGGCAGGTCAGATGGGGTCAGAGACGTCTCCAGCTCGCCTCCAACGCTCACCTCCTCGATCACCTGCAGACACCAGCAGGAGGACACCAGGACGTGATGCCTTCAGGGCCCATCCGCACAATCTGATCTCTGATCATGTGACATTGTCAACACCAGACCAGGGGGGGAGCTAGTAGCGTTAGCAGCATCATAGATATATATATAAATATATATAAGTCTCGTCCGCGTTGCCGGCCAACGAAGTCGGATGTCCGCACATGGCGGCCATCTTGCCTCAGTGATTGAGCACGTTATGGTTATTTAAACAGTACATGTACCTCGACCAGCACAATGTTATGGGTGAGCAAGCTCACTGCAAGATGGCCGCCATGTGCGGGCGTTCTAGACTCCGCCCCCAAGACATCTGGCCTTTATACATGTCTATGTGCAGCACCGCTAAACAGCTAACCGCTAACTGCTAACGGCTAACAACGGAGGTTGTCCTCAGTCACGTGATGCCTTCAGGCTCTGGGCGTTTAAAATGAGAATATTAAGTTTAATCTGTAAAATGAAGTTTTGGAGATGAATCTTGAACCAACAATACTCTGTTTAAGCTCTAAGCACAATATTACATTAAATATAAATATAATAATAATAAAAGCGCTATCTTTTATTTCCTCATCATTTGAATTGTGCGTTCTAGTAAAAGGGACGAAAACAAAGGAAGAGTATATCGTGTAGTATTGAGGAGGCTGTGTGTGTGACCTCTGACCTTCCTCCACTCCTCGGCCTGCTGGAAGCTGCTGTAGCCCAGAACCAGCCTCTCTGAGCCCAGTGGAACCAGTTTGATCTGGTGCTGGATCCTCCTGCTGCTCCTCGACTTGGAGACCAGACGACAGCCGCGCAGGTTCAACTCCAGCTGGGGGAGCAGGTCCTGAGCACACGTGTAGCCCTGACGCACACACACACACACACACACACACACACAGAGGGACACACACACAGAAGAGAACTGGAGTACTAGAATACAGTATTTGAGTAGAGTATTTGCGTGTACCAGAAGGCGCTGAGGCCTCACCAGCAGCTCCTCCCTCCGGATGATGAACAGCTGTTTGCTCCACTGGCCGAACCACTTCCTCTTCCACAGGTAACCACAGAGACGGGACTCGGGGGCGGGTCTTAGGCAGGGCTGGGAGCCGCTCCATTGGACGTAGTGAGCCCTGTCCTTCACAAGCTCATCTTCCTCGCCGTAGGACTCGTAGTGACTGCTCTCTGACTCCGCCTTCTCTGAAGGACGATACACAACGTGGTGTGTGTGCGTGCGTGTATGAGTGTGTGTGCATGTGTATGTGTGTGTTGTACCAATGTTGCACGTGCTGTTGTCTGGTCTGTACGGTGCGGCCTCCTCGTAGGCATCTTCGTCATCATCATCATCTTCATCATCATCGTCGTCATCATCAGCTCCTGGACCTCCCGGAGGAAGAGGCGGCACCACAATGTCCTGAAAGACAACGAGGACAACTCCTTAATCAACTTCCTGCTTCCCGGTTATTATGGTAACCATGGAGACGCAGAACATTCCAAGAAGCCTGAAGCGCCGCATCATCAGGTCATCAGGGAACTTACTCTGGATACAGTGTGTGTGTGTGTGTGTGTGTGTGTGTGTGTGTGTGTGTGTGTGTGTGTGTGTGTGTGTGTGTGTGTGCGTCCATCCATCACGTAGACCAGATGGTAATCATCCTCCATCAGTGACCACTTCCTCCCTCTGCAGAGCTCTCAGCCAATAGGAGGACAGATGAAGGGGAGATGGTCGTCTATGTAAACATTGAACATCCTGTCTCACACACACACACACACACACACACACACACACACACACACACACACACACACACGTCTCCTCCCTGTAACCTCAGGAGAACTCGGTCTGACCCACATCACATACTGTGTTACGGCAGAGTACTCGTACCACGATGTAGACATACTGTGTTACGGTAAAAGTACTCGTACTACGATGTAGACATACTGTGTTACGGTAAAGTACTCGTACCACGATGTAGACACATACTGTATTACGGTAAAGTACTCGTACCACGATGTAGACACATACTGTGTTACGGTAGAGTACTCGTATACCACACTGGTAATAAACAGAGTGTTGCAGTGTATCCCAGCATGCAACAGGTGTGACGACTCACCGCGTCTCTCGGCCATGCGGGTGAGATCTGATCTGGAAGCAGCTCAGGGGACGAAACGCCTTCTGGACAAAAATGAACACAACTTGATGGTAGCGGCCATGTGTCGTCATCGCGTCCATCACAGTGCCGGCGGTGTTACCTGTCCCAGGTGTGCCTGCCGGCTGGTTGCTAGGAGACGACAAGGGGCAGCTCATGATCATGTACTCGGCGTCTTCCACTGGGAAACACAGCAGAGAGCAGTGAGGACGCCAGCTTCCCTCTGAGGTTGCTTAGTAACGCTTATATAATAAAATACAAACATGAATATATGTACATGCTTATTCTAGTTTAGTAAAGCAACATCAGGAGTAGTAGTAGTAGTACTTGTGGTAGTACTGTCCCCAGCAGTCCTGTCCATCTGCAGGGAGGACAGCAGTCCTGAAATGTCCTCCTTGTGCGTGCGCGCCGCCTCACTCAGGCTCTCTGCGTCCAGCGCCGACAGGAAGGACGACAGGTCCCAGATCAGCTTGGCCAGCACTGAGGAGACAGAGAGCCGTCAGCGAGGACGCCACGGCCCTGTAGGACCAAACACACTGAAGATCCTACTCATAGAAGAACCGTACGTTTGTTCATCCGTCACAAATAAACTCCAGCTTCTCAGATACGAAACCTTGTCGGTGTTCAACAGATTTTAAATTTAAAATAAAGATTGAGCTGAAACCTTTAAATCTATTTCTTCATTAGTTCTGAAAGCATCACGTCCAGGTTCACTTTATTGTCCCTCATGGCCGCCCGCCATTCCGTTTGTCTTTATTTAACTCATAGAGAACTGGAGGTGTTGTTCCTCATGTTCTTCACCTCAGGCGAGACGCAGTGAGAAACGACCTCACGATATTCACGTAAGTTAACAGGGTCCTTGGATGGTCACATGTGTTCCTCAGGTGTCCTCCAGAGAAACACATGTTTTACATGGACACCCTCCTTCTGAAGGTCTCCAGAACCACCTGTGGCATGATGAGAACCTTCTAAAAGACCTCCAGAACCACCTAAAAGAGAATGGACAGACTGTTTATAATTATTATAAAACTAATATGTCTCATGTGTTTGGAGGCGATTGTTGAGATGTGAAGCGCCACCACGAGACAAAGCAGGCGACTCTTTGAGAAGCGAGCTGAGGCCCAGAGAAGCAAACACAGCATCAGAATCCTCCCACATCTTCTGAGTGCATCGTGCATCCACAGAGAACGTGAGCAGCCCCAAAGCTCTCAACAGGATCCCTGTTGTTTCCTGTTGCCACGGCGATGACGCAGCGACCAGCTGATCTGAGAACAGCTGAATGAGCCTGTGAGGACGGAGGCATGTGGAGAAGCAGAGAGACACAAGGTGTCTGTGTGAGAGCTCCATGTCCCCTGTGAGGGAGAGAGAGCGTCTCACCCACCAGCTGACCCCTGACCCCCACACAACCACACAACCACACACACAACCACACAACCACACACACAACCACACAACCACACAACCACACACACAACCACACAACCACACACACAACCACACAACCACACACAACCACACACACAACCACACAACCACACAACCACACACACAACCAACCACACACAACCACACAACCACACACACAACCACACAACCACACAACCACACACACAACCAACCACACACACAACCACACACACACCACACAACCACACAACCACACACACAACCAACCACACACACAACCAACCACACACACAACCACACACACAACCACACACAACCACACACACACACAACCACACAACCACACACACAACACACACACACACACACAACCACACAACCACACACAACCACACACAACCACACACACAACCACTCACACAACCACACAACCACACACACAACCACACAACCACACAACCACACAACCACACACACAACCACACACACAACCACACAACCACACAACCACACACACACACAACCACACAACCACACACACAACCACACACACAACCACACAACCACACAACCACACACACAACCACACACACAACCACACAACCACACACATAACCACACACAACCACACACACAACCACACACACACACACACAACCACACAACCACACACACAACCACACAACCACACACATAACCACACACAACCACACACACAACCACACACACACACACACAACCACACAACCACACACACAACCACACACACACACCTCACACATGGAAAGGTAACATGCTAGGACATTAGCACATTAGCCTCGGTTACCCACAGTTAGCATGTTAGCTAGCCCTCTTCTTCTCTGGTGTTACAGGTTAAGATGAGGCAAGAAGGTCCCTGTTGGAACAGTCCTTTCTTCCTAGGAAGGTTCCTCACTGCACCATGCAAGAGCTGTTCTATTCAGTGCTTCCTTACTTAGCTCCTTTAGCACAGGAACCACTGGACCATCCTTGACTAAAGGAGCTTCAGTGCTTCCTTACTTAGCTCCTTTAGCACAGGAACCCTTAAAGCAGAAGTGAGTGTTTGTGAGTCTAAACAATCCATTAGCTCGGGCCCCTGAGGAGGAAGTGATGATGATGGTAGTTAACATACCACCGGTGAGATAAAGACCTCACACTGGTCTCTTTAGGTTATTATATTATTCAGCATGTGGTAGAATCAAAGTTTCAAATCAAATTTCCATCATATGAATTGAATGTCTTGTACATCTTTTACGATGTCAATCTGTCTCACTGAGGTTTCCTCCTTTTTCCCCCATGAAGGGTTTTCATTGTTTGGGGAGTTTTTCCTGTGTTGATGTGAAGGTTTCAGGACGTGTACAGACTGTAAAGCCCTCTGAGGCTAATTTGTAATTTGCGATTTTGGGTTCTACAAAATTCTTCAAAATGAATTGATAAATGATATCACAAGGTAGCAGTGATTCTCGTTTATGTTTTAACAAAATGAGCCGCTACATAGATTCATAATATATGTGTTATGAAATGTTTATTAATAGTGTGTCGTAGAAACAACTCACACTGTATCTACAATGAATAAAAACAACTAAAAACAGTTCAGTAACAACATCATGATGACTTTTTAGTTATTAGTATACTTTTTTTTCATGAACCTGTATTTATTTATTGAATGTCTCTATTTCTCTGAACGTATACATATATTTCATCTCTTAATAATGAACATGATGATGAATGAATGAATGCACATAAAAGCACACGCGCCCGTCTGACCGTCTTCATGTGATTCATTCACACAACGTGTCTTTGTAAACTCCTTTGTAGTAAGTACCTTTCTGTTTGTCCATGTCTGTCCGTCCTCTCAGGAGCTGCTGATCTTCTGACTCATGTCTCTGCTCCAGAGTTCAAAACATCCAACCGACACGGAGACGTCCTCAGTGGAGAAAGACTCTGTCTTCAATGTCTCTGAAGACGTCCTCACTTTCTATAAAGACCGGCTCATAGTCTCTCACTGTCTCCGGAGACGTCCTCAGTGTGTCCCAGTGGTCTGTGTGAGCTGGTCTCCGTCCGTCCTCCTGGTGACGCGCTGGGGGAGGAGAGACAGGAACACGCCCCCCAGCAGGAGGAGACAGAGACGGCAGCTGGAGGAAAAGGTTCTAAAGCCACCAACTGTCCCCGACCGCCAATCAGATTCAAGGAGACTTCTTCGCTAAGCCACTCCCCCTTTGGCGCCTTCTAGTTAGTTTACTCTTTGTCCATAAGGTTTTTTCCAAATATATTACATGTGTTTATTTCAATAAGCGTTCAGAAAGGGAATAAAATAGAATTCTTTAAAAACATGCTTCATGGAAATAGACCCTTAAGCAGTGAAATCATATCAGTGATATAAGACATTTCAAAGGAGATTTTAGCAGTTTCGAGAGAATTGTGCAGAAGGAGGACATTATAAATACATATATATGGTAATGTGTTGAGCTAGCTGGCGTCATTAGCATTTTAGCGTGGAGCTAGCGTTAGCTCTCTGGTTGTTGTCTGTCGTGGATGACGTTGCGTCTGTCCTGTTGGCTGTTTGTCTGTTAGAAGAACAAACCTGCGGCGCTGTGCTAGGACTCATCGCCGCACACAAAGAGCATCATTTAGATGACGTTAAATCAGCCGTGTGCTATTACCTCAATTCCATTCATTTCAATTCATTTTATTTTGTACAGCGCAAAATCGCTAATTATATATTATCTTCACATACTTTGCTGTTTAGTTATTCGCTCGTATATACCTGTTCTCTCATGTCACAGTTGTATTATTACTTATTGTATTAGTTCTGTGCTCCAGTAAAGTGCTTTTAGTCATTAATGATGAGATCAAAGCAAATACAAACGCTCTTTATTGTCACTCACGTCACCTTTCATCTGTTACATCATCTGCATCCAGATATGAGAACAACAACAATCATATCTTCATCCAATAGTTTTACCAATATGTCCAGCAGCAGGGCGGCTTAGAGACCTCCACCTCACTGTGACGTCACACTGACCCCTGACCTCCGGCTGACCTTTGACCTTAATGTGACTATTGACCTCAGCCTGACCTCTAATTCTAACTCTGACCTTAGTCCAACCTGCGAGTCCAAAGAAGCATTTACCTGCTAGCGTCTTGTTGCAAATCGATGACATCATCCTCTTGACATCATGCATAATACCTGACACGCTGCTCTGGGTGAAACAATTCACTTAAAAAAAGAAGAAAAGAAAAACAACTTTAAAAAGTACAAAAGAAGAAACAAAACACAATCTTGTGTCGTCATGGCCATCGTCACAGCAACCCACTTCCTGTTTCCAACCAAAAGCACAACCAATCAGAGCACAGCGTTGGTTCACGCGTCATCAAACCACTCGCTCACAGTCACATGACTCCTCTACTGTTTCCATAGATACAGGAGGCGGCGTGGCGGTGAGCAGGATACGGTGGTGGTATTTTGGCGGTTGCGGCAAAGTGAGTTTGTCCTGACCAACTGCAGGGAGGGGTCCCTGAACGCCACACGGCTCTGAGCCGCTAGCGCTAAAAGTGCTGGTAATTTTACCGTTACAATAAAACCAGAAAGTTACATATAATGTAATGTACATAATTATATATTGTGTGTGTATATGTACAGTACCAGTCAAATGTTGGTCAAATGAACAGACTCTATCATCGAATTGAATAAGAAACTGGTACTGGTACCGACAAAAATTTACATATATCATATTACATACAATTATATACATATATATATATATATATGTATATAATATATGTTTATTATATATATAATATATTTATTATATTATAAATATACCATCTCTAACTGATTTAGTTTTAAATGTTTACACTCAGGGAGGATGATGGATGAAGGAAGATGATGATGGAGATGATGTGTGTGGTGTGGTAGCAGATAGTGGTTGGGGACCTCTGCTTTAGAGGCTCTGATGAAAGACCCCATTCCTATAACTATGTTTGGTGAACACTTTCCTGCCCATCATGCATCTGGCCAGCCTTCTTGGAAGAAGTCCAGCAGAGTGATGAAGTCCAGCAGAGTGAAGAAGTCCAGCAGAGTGAAGAAGTCCAGTAGAGTGAAGAAGTCCAGCAGAGTGAAGAAGTCCAGCAGAGTTTGTCCTTTAGTCTTTGTCTGTTTTTTCCCATCCATCTTGATGTTGAATAACAAACATGCTTCTGTGAATTATTAGAAAATAGCTGCACATTGTTGAGTGTGTGCTGAGATAAAACAGGACAGTGTGTTTGGCTGAATTAGTGAGGAGACGTCTGATCTCCATCGGAGCGTCCTCTGATACCGGGTCACAACTCTAATAGTTAAATAGCTCAAGTACAAGGAAACCGGAACCTTCCCACCAGCCTCAGATCTACAGCGCTAACTGCTAACTAGCTAACGTTAGCATGATGAAGGTTCAAATGTGAGGTTGTACAATTAATTCAGTGACACTTAATATTGTTAAAGTTGAGGAATAAAGATTCCTCCTGGAAGTCTCAAAGTGAAAACATTTAACTGCCACGTGATGAAATACTTGTACTACGTCTGATATTCACTGTATTCTGGGTTTAAGGGAGACGGACTACGGATCCACATGAAACCTTCTGGAACCCAGAGGAACCATCGCAGGTCACATCAGGACCGAGACTGAATATAAGCGTGTCTATTTAATGGTAATTATTGGGTATTTCTGCCCATTAACAAGTGCTGGTTACATGTTAAACTAACAGGTTAACTAGCTGGTAACATGTAACTAACTAGTTAGCATGTTAACTAGCCGGTTAGCATGTTTACTAAGTTGGACTTTCTGGATCTACGGAGGATGAAAGAGTTAAAAACAAACTGTAATTTCAGTTATTTTATGTTAATATATTTAGACCCTTGGTTGTGTCTTTTGTGTCTTTGTATTTGTCTCTTTGTGTTGACGTGTGTGATGAACTCGTAGCATCATAATCAGCACTGAGAGGTCAGCGTGGACGGGTCCTCGGTGAAGCCATCGAACGATGTGTCCTCCACATCTACTGAAGCTGGTGAAGCAGACGTGACGTCTGAACGAGGATGGGGGGTCAGAAGAGACACACTTTCTTCTTCATGTCGTTCCTCTTCCACAGAGAGAGGCTATCGAACTCCTCCATGGACATCCCGAAGACACTGAAGAACTCCTCCTGGGAGAGGTGACGCTGTGTGGGGGGACGGGGGGGGTTATTTTCAACTGAGAGCATTAAAATAATTTAAAATTTTCTATCTAAATCCCTTACAAAACCAATCAATCCATCATTTGACATATTCTACAGCAGCTAATATAGCTAGCTCTAGCCTAGCTTGTTAGCCTTAGCTACCTTCTGACGTCTGTTGGTCAAACCTCCAGAGCAGCTTCTGGTTCCCGCTATGACTCACTCTCAACCAATCAGAACGCTTGATTTCATCTGCCCCGTATTATAAAAGAATATACGACACGGGATATGAAACATGACCAGTAGTCGAAGTGCAAGCAGCCAGTTGAATGGTGACTTTTGTGACTTTGAAAGAGTCCGTGCCGCCGACCTCACGTCACTGATCCACGCGCAGACAAACAGAGTTCTTCTACCTCCCACGTCGCACCATTGATTCATCAAGTTTGTCTGTCTCGCTCGCTCTCGCGCGTTAGCCCGTAAAAAATGACCCATTAGCCGCACCGCCGTATAAGCCGCGGGGTTCAAAGCGTGGGGGAAAAGTAGCAGCTTGGAGTCCGGAATTTACGGTAACTGGAATTTATTGAAACGTTGTTGCAGAGTTTCAGGGCACGTTTGTTTGTTTGTTCCGCAAACTGTTCTTTTCTTTCTGTTTTTTAATTGGGGGGATTGGCGGTCCATGAACGAGGTCGGATGCAGAATTGGATGCGTGGCCTAAAAAGTCTGGGAAGCGCTGCTCTAGAACATCTACCTCCAGGCGGGTTCGGTCCACCCCGGGGGGCAGCTTGCTCCGCCCTCTGTGGGTCACCACCAGCACGTCATAGGGGCAGATCTAGAAATCAATCAATCAATCAATCATTCCATCTTAAACAGTACCAATTGTATGTTACAGTAATTATAATGCAGGATTATGTTATTATAACGTCAATGTTATTATATAAAAGATATACATCTTTCATACAGAAGTTTACCTTTTGTTCCAACATGCTGGGGAGAGAATTCCCTCGATCCATCCTGGAGTCTCCGTTCTGTCTCACACAGATATCACACTGCGTTATTACCATCATTATCATCACTATCATCACTCATGTGGACGTGTGGAGACTGTACCTGAAGATCTGCAGGAGGAGAGAGAGAGAATAAAGAGAATGTCAACAAATATGAAGTACTAATACATCTTTGAGGCCTGATCAGAGGAGAGACAATGATCCGATCATTTTGTGCATATCGGCCGGTATCTGATATAGTGGACACATGCTGGACAACCAATAAACCGTTTTTATATTCTGCATATGATTACATGTTTATTTAGCAGCTGATCTTGGGTCTGCTTCACACCTTTAAATCTACCTGAAACACCTGGACCTCAATGACATTGGACAAGTGTCCTACGTCTTTAGACTTTAGTTTAAGATCTCACGAGCAATAGAAAATACAAATGATTAAAATAAGGACGAGGTTGTTTATGTTCACCTGCCGGAGTCTTCTGAGCCGAGCGGAACTCTGCCGAGCCGAGCTGAAACACAAGCAGAAGCACGCGGGTCACGCTACAGCGCTGCGCTGTGATTGGTCCATTTACCGAGACTCACCTGGGACAAGCCGCTCCTAGAGGATGCTGGGAAATACACGGGCCGGGAGGCGTTGGACACTGAGGTGAAAGGATTGAAATCTTGAGTTTATTGTACTTGTAAAGGAAGCAGTACTTATGTCACAGTATAAAAGTATCCTGCTAACAGATGTTCCCATGCTACAGATGTTCTCATGCTACAGATGTTCCAATGTTACAGATGTCCTCATGCTACAGATGTTCTCATGCTACAGATGTTCTCATGCTACAGATGTTCCCATGCTACAGATGCTCTCATGCTACAGATGCTCTCATGCTACAGATGTTCTCATGATATAGATGTTCCCATGCTACGGACGTTCTCATGCTATAGATGTTCTCATGCTACAGATGTTCTCATGCTACAGATGTTCTCATGCTATAGATGTTCCCATGCTACAGATGCTCTCATGCTACAGATGTTCTCATGCTATAGATGTTCTCATGCTACAGATGCTCTCATGCTGCAGATGCTCTCATGCTATAGATTTTCTCATGCTACAGATGCTCTCATGCTACAGATGTTCCCATGCTACAGATGTTCTCATGCTATAGATGTTCTCATGCTACAGATGTTCCCATGCTACAGATGCTCTCATGCTACAGATGTTCTCATGATATAGATGTTCCCATGCTACGGATGTTCCCATGCTACAGATGTTCTCATGCTATAGATGTTCTCATGCTACAGATGCTCTCATGCTACAGATGTTCCCATGCTACGGATGTTCTCATGCTATAGATGTTCTCATGCTACAGATGCTCTCATGCTACAGATGCTCTCGTGCTATATATTTTCTCATGCTACAGATGCTCTCATGCTACAGATATTCTCATGCTAAAGATGCTCTCATGCTACAGATCTTCTCATGCTAAAGACGTTCTTATACTACAGATGTTCTCATGCTAAAGACGTTCTCATTCCACAGATGTTTTCGTGCTAAAGATGTTCTCATTCCACAGGTGAGACATACCTGTGTGCTGACTTCGGTCCGGTAGGGAGCGAGTCTTCCTCCTCAAAGGAGCTGAGGACTTTTGAAGCTCCTCCTTCATGATGATCCTCCCCAGATTAGACTGAATCTAAGGAGGGAATATGTTACATTATGTGTTATATTATATATTCTATGTCACATTTAATGTTAAATATGCCATCATATGTTATACAACACACATGTTGTCATATATGTTAGATTATATACGTTTTTTTTACTATACAGAGGGACGTTATCATATGTTGTTAGATAATCCATGTCATAACATGTTATACAATCTGTTATAACGTATTATGTGGTGTTTTATCATATGTTATTGAGTCTTTATAGAACTGATGCTGCTTCACCTTGTTGAGTTCTTGTTTCTGAAGAGCTCTCAGTCCCCACAGCTCATCATTCTGCTCATCATCCTCATCCTTATCCTCTTCTCTCTGATCCTTCCTCCTGCTCTCCTTTTCTGTAGGGAGGAGAGGAGACAAGGGGAGAGAAGAGAGCAGGATAGAGTATTAGAGAAAACAAGGAGATATGAGATGGATGAAACAAAGATCAACAACCTACATAGTGTTAAAAGCCAAAGAAAAGAGGTGCGTTTTAAGAAGAAGACAGTGAGGAGGTCTAATGTGCAGCGGCAGTTCGTTCCATAGTTTTGGTGCAACAGAAAATGCTCGTTCCCCTCTGAGCTTCAGCCTCGTTTTTGGAACCCTGAGGAGCAGCTGGTCAGCTGACCTGAGAGATCGGCTCTGTAGGGGTACGGTGGGGCAAGACCATTTAGAGATTTAAAAGCAAATAAAATAATTTTAAAATAAATTCTGAGATGCACGGGTAACCAGTGGAGTGAAACTAAAATCGGTGAATTGTGCTCAAACTTCCTTGTGCCAGTTAAAAGGCTTGCAATGGAGGACCCACTGATCCCCATATAAAGTGCGTTGCAGTAATCCAGCCGAGTCACAAAGGCGTGGATTACTGTTTCAAAGTGATGTCTCCATAAAAAAAAGGTTTTATTTTTGCCTGCTGCCTTAACTGGAAGAAGCTGCTTTCACCACAGCTTTAATCTGGCTGTCAAACTTAAGATCCACATCCACTTTTACCCCTAGATTGTTTACAATAGGTTTGGCGTACTGTGCCAAGGAACCCAGGTCGACTGAGGTGCCACCAAAGACCATCACTTCAGTCTTTTTTTCATTAAAATTTAAAAATATTAAATTTGATTGGAACCAAGTGGAAGAAGGTGCAAAGAAAAGAAAAGAGGACCCAGCACCGAACCCTGTGGGACCCCACATGGGAGAGTGGAGGACACAGGTGAGACAGGTAGGACCTGAACCATTCTGGTCAGTCGAGGTCAGTGTGTGTGTGTGTGTTTGTCAATCCAGGTCATACCAATGACAGCCAGGGAGGGGGGGCAGGGCCAGTACTCGGTCTCTATCTTGGAGGGGAGGCTGGGGTCCGGAGGCTCAGCCGCAGGGAACTTTGAGGACTCGATGATCAGATCCTCCATGTGCTTCCCTAGGGGGAGCTGAGAGGACCCCCCAACTTCTGCACACACAAACACACACATACACACACATCAAAGCCGATTAAATGGGGAAATGATCTTCTCTTATTTTCTATTCAGACTATTCTGAGGTGATTATTTTACACAAAGTAATAACATAATAATTACAACAATTAATAATTGTCCATTCATATTATAGTTATTTTTACCATTCATTCACTAGCAAGGACCACGGCATCCACTGAAGGCGTTTGTCATGAGTGAACGTGTAATTGATTGATTGATGGTGATTTCGTCTGGTCGGTCGGGTCGGGTTGAACTGTGTCGGAGGATCCAGCGTGCGCCTGGTGGCACGGTGAACCCCCAGAAGACCCCATTACGTGAGGGGATGATCGGCTTGTGAGGACCAGGCCCGTGATTTGGATGTGTGGGTGTTCTGCTTCACTTTGTGAGATGAAGAATGGGTCTGTAGGTGAGGGGCTACGGGAATGCTAAGCTGCAAGTACATGGAAAGGGTTTCGAAAGGACTCACAGGTGACGTTCTCTGAAGACATCAGGACCACAGAGAGCCTTCACATCTTCAGACTACAGACACACCTCTTCAGACTCTACCTCCACTAACACACTAACTAACTGCAGCACTTACATTGGACTTATAATGGTTCTTATCTACAGCAAGTTGTACATCGGCTTATTTGATGAAATTACACTTTCTTGTTTCTTGATCTTCTGAGTTTGTGTCCTGATGGTTGAAATGCACAAATGTAGAGGTGGGAATCTCTTGGCACCTCACGATTCCATTCGATTCCGATTCAGAGGAAGGTCAGAAGGTCAGATGACGTAAGGTGCTCGTAAGTAACGAGCATGCGTTCGATCGTGCGTTACCGGACCTCGGCCGTGTTTTTGAATGCGTAATCAAGGAACAAGAAGAGTGGGTTGAGCTGTATTTATGGAAATACCGGAAGGTTGGACCGTGTTGGAGGCGTGGAATGCTCCCAAAATACGCTAATTAGCTTCAATAATTAGTAATTCCGATTTACAATACAACTATTATGAATCATTATTTGTATTGTTAATAAAAATAACAATTCTGATCTGTATTAATAAAGGAATGACAGTGAACAGTTCAGGGTGATTCAGCTGATCATCGTTAGCTTAGCTTAGCATAGCATAATGACACATGATTACATTGGTTATGTTCAAATGCAGTCACAGTACTTGTAGTGTGGTATTAGTACTAGTATACTGGAGTATTAGTACTAATAGCATTACTTTGTCCTTTAAATAAACAGATGTTTTCAATAGAGGAACACACCTTGTTTGTAGATTGGAGGCTTCTTATAGATGTTGGAGCCATTTTCTGAAAGATCAGAATTACATCACTATAATAAAACATAAACACGTCACATGTTTTAGAGGTTGAAATACTTTGTTATGAAGTATCATCTCTGGAGGACAAAATGCACTAAAATATACACTGATGCTCTTCCATCTCAACAAGATGTTTAATATGTAACCTGAAATGCCGTCAGGTATCACTCTAGTGAAACAGGAATAGAGGGAGCAGAAGAAGAGTTGTACCGGGCCTGTGGAAGTGCTGCTTGGAGGACTTGGACCCAGAGGAGGCTGTGTGTGCTGGAGTGTGTGAGCTGTGGGTTCCGCTGGAAACAGGAGAGGAACCTCTCGGAGAACGGTTCTCCAGCCAATCCCTGGACTCCTTCTGGAGACGCAGAGGAGCACAGAGTTCAGGGGTGAGAGGTCAAAGTCAACTGTACTGGTTCTACTGGTACCAGAGTCTGTAATGACTGTGGTGAAGAAGGAGAGAATATGATGAAGAAAGGTCATGTGTTGGTGCTATGACCTCTGACCTGCTCATCATAATGCTTATTGAACATAGTCAGTCTTACCTCGGGGGAGGGAGAAGGAGACAAGGAGCGAGGAGACAAGGACCTCTGAGGAGGAAAGAAATAAAAACGCTCAGACATGTGCTGTGCAACAATTACAATTTTGAATTGCAACCAATCAAAATATTAATTAAAAGTGGTGTATTCGCCACTTTTATTTATGCTAAATATATATGTATATATATAAATAAATAAGGCACTTTTTAACAGCAGTACTTTGTTATGGCAAAACAAATTACATTATAACTTGTTTGCCATATCGATGCGTTCACTGACCTCCCATATGAGGAGTTAGTTGACCTCCCATACGAGGCGTTCACTGACCTCCCATACGAGGCGTTCACTGACCTCCCATACGAGGCGTTCACTGACCTCCCATACGAGGAGTTAGTTGACCTCCCATACGAGGCGTTCAGTGACCTCCCATACGAGGCGTTCACTGACCTCCCATACGAGGCGTTCACTGACCTCCCATACGAGGCGTTCACTGACCTCCCATACGAGGAGTTAGTTGACCTCCCATACGAGGCGTTCAGTGACCTCCTATACGAGGCGTTCATCGACCTCCTATATGAGGCGTTCACTGACCTCCCATACGAGGCGTTCACTGACCTCCCATACGAGGAGTTAGTTGACCTCCCATACGAGGCGTTCACTGACCTCCCATACGAGGAGTTAGTTGACCTCCCATATGAGGCGTTCACTGACCTCCCATACGAGGAGTTAGTTGACCTCCCATACGAGGCGTTCACTGACCTCCCATACGAGGCGTTCATTGACCTCCCATACGAGGAGTTAGTTGACCTCCCATACGAGGCGTTCACTGACCTCCCATACGAGGAGTTAGTTGACCTCCCATACGAGGCGTTCAGTGACCTCCTATACGAGGCGTTCATCGACCTCCTATATGAGGCGTTCACTGACCTCCCATACGAGGCGTTCACTGACCTCCCATACGAGGCGTTCACTGACCTCCCATACGAGGCGTTCACTGACCTCCTATACGAGGCGTTCACGGACCTCCCATAAGAGGCGTTAATTGACCTCCTATATGAGGCGTTCACTGACCTCCCATACGAGGAGTTAGTTGACCTCCCATACGAGGCGTTCACTGACCTCCCATACGAGGAGTTAGTTGACCTCCCATATGAGGCGTTCACTGACCTCCCATACGAGGAGTTAGTTGACCTCCCATACGAGGCGTTCACTGACCTCCTATACGAGGCGTTCAGTGACCTCCCATACGAGGCGTTGAGTGACCTCCCATACGAGGCGTTCACTGACCTCCCATACGAGGAGTTAGTTGACCTCCCATACGAGGCGTTCACTGACCTCCTATACGAGGCGTTCACGGACCTCCCATAAGAGGCGTTAATTGACCTCCTATATGAGGCGTTCACTGACCTCCCATAAGAGAGGTTTACTGACCTCCCATATGAGGCGTTCACTGACCTCTCATTACCAAGAGTTAACTGACCTCCCCGTACAAGGCGTACTGGACCTCCCCAAACCAGGGGTTACTTGACCTTTCCAATGAAGGCGTTAACTGACCTCTCATACGAGGAGTTAGTTGACCTCCCATACGAGGCGTTCACTGACCTCCCATACGAGGCGTTCACTGACCTCCCGTGCGAGGCGTTCACTGACCTCCCGTGCGAGGCGTTCACTGACCTCCCATACGAGGCGTTCACTGACCTCCCGTGCGAAGCGTTCACTGACCTCCCGTGCGAGGCGTTCACTGACCTCCCATACGAGGCGTTCACTGACCTCCCGTGCGAAGCGTTCACTGACCTCCCGTGCGAGGCGTTCACTGACCTCCCGTGCGAGGCGTTCACTGACCTCCCGTGCGAGGCGTTCACTGACTCCCCGGGGGCTGCAGCTCTGCTGGTAGATCATCAGGTCCGGCCTCTCGATGTCCAGGATGGCTTTGTCCCTCGGCAGCGCCGCCAGGTCCTTGTAGCCGATCAGCCCGTCCTCCACTCGGGCCTGAGGGCCCGATTACAGATTACTGCCTCCAGATACACATGAATGGATCTGTGTGTGTCTGTGTGTGTTTGTGTGTGCGTGTGTGTGTGTCTCACCACAATGGCGGCTGCGGGGGATCCTGGGACGCTGGAGGCTCTCAGGGACAAAACACTGCCTGGAGACGTGTGAGCCAGCTGCTGCTTGCACACACACACATAAACACACACACACACATAAAGACACAGAGGTCAGAGGTCAACCCTGTGGACTTAATGAAGGAATGAATGAGGATGTTTCACTTTTCTAATTAATGTATTTAAGCCGTCATCATGAATTTATAATAATTATATTTATAAAAGAGAAACGATGGGACATTTTTAGTCTCATAACTGTAACACATTTGTTTAGATCTCTAAACACACTATTTTTAATATCGTATTATTAAAGTCGTCATCGTACATCGTAACATACTCTGTGTGCGTTCGGTGGAATTATTTAGTCGATTTCCTCTGAAAAGAGAATCTTCTCCGCCTATAAACATATTTAACGTATTAAAATGAGCAACATACGGTGTGTGTGACATCATCCTCATCCCCTCTATGACATCACATCCTCATGACACGGTATTAACACACGTCTTTCTGTCTCGGGTTAGAAGAGTATGAAAAGAGCAAAAAGAGAGCGGAACAGTTTTTACCTTGGGCATCATCCTGACTGTTGATTGGTCGATTCCTGAGGGACACACATCACATGGGGTCAATTGAAGCTAATTTGCATATTTTGGGAGCAGGACCACACCTCCATCACGCCCCTTACAGTATTCCCATAAATACAGCTCAACCGGCTCTTCTTGTTCTAAAACCCCAACCCTTCTTTTTCCTTCCTTTTCCTTTCTCTCCCTCTTTTTCCAACTTTTCGTAGGTCCCCTGAAGGGGTCCGCCGTGGCCCGGACGCACGATGGACCCCTTCAGGGACACGTTCACTCATGACAAACGTCTTCAGTGGACAGAGTGGTCCTTGCTAGTACGCTCTGCTGCATCTGACACAGTCAACCAGCAGATCCTCGTCTCCTCCCTTCAGGAACTTGGTGTCTCAGGCTCTGCTCTCTCCCTTCTCTCGTCCTACCTCGACGGACGCACCTACCGGGTAACCTGGAGAGGATCTGTGTGGGAACCTTGTCCTCTTACCACTGGAGTTCCTCAGGGTTCCGTCCTGGGTCCCCTCCTCTTCTCGCTCTACACCAACTCTCTCTGCGCTGTCATTCGCTCGCATGGCTTCTCCTACCACAGCGATGCTGATGACACCAACTAATCCTCTCCTTCCCTCACTCGGATCTCTGCCTGTCTGACTGACATTTCTCAGTGGATCCGCCCACCATCTGAAAATCAACCCCGACAAGACGGAACTACTTCTCTTTTTGGGAAAAGATTCTCCTACACAGGACCTGACTGTTAACTTTGAGACTCCGTGTTAACGTCCACTTTGACTGCAGGAACCTCGGCGTGACGTCGACAGCCGACTCTCCCTGACTCCAACATCACTGACAACACCATCCTGTAGATACTCGCTCTACAACATCAGGAGAACACGTCCTCTTCTCACTCAGAAGGAGGTACTGATTCAGGCTCTTGTTGTCTCCCTCCTGGACTACTGCAACTCTCTCCTGCAGGTCTCCTGCTACCTCCATTCCACCTCTGCAGCTCATCCAGAATGCAGCAGCTCCACTGCTCTTTAACCTTCCTAAGTTCTCCCTCACTCCTCCACTCCTCCGCTCTCTTCACTGGTACCGGTGGCTCATCCAGTTCTAAACATGGTGCTCACGTACCATGCTGTGAATGGATGGGGTCCCGCTTACATCCAGGACCTGGTCCAACCCGACATCCCGACCCGCACTCTCCGCTCTGCATGTGATAAACTGCTTGTTCCTCCTCACTGAGAGCAAAACACTCCACTAGATCTCCACTCTTTGCTGTCCTGCTCCTAAATGGTGGAAGGAGGTCTCTGAAGACATCAGGACCACAGAGAGCCTTCACATCTTCAGAATAAAGACACACCTCTTCAGACTCTACCTCCACTAACACACTAACTAACTGTAGCACTTACATTGGACTTATAATGGTTCTTATCTACAGCAAGTTGTACATCGGCTTATTTGATGAAATCACACTTTCTTGTTTCTTGTTCTTCTGAGTTTGTGTCCTTATGGTTGAAATGCACAAATGTAGTTTGTGTGTGAGCGTGAGTGTGTGTGTGTGTGTGTGTGTGTGTGTGTGTGTGTGTGTGTGTGTGTGTGTGTGTGTGTCCATACCTCAGGGGGAATAAGGAATCATGTCTGTTTCTGTTTGTCTTCTCTGCTTGTTGATCAACACCTGAAACACATCAATAAAGTTATTTAAATCTAAAGGATCAATACTCTGATCAACTTTGTCAGTATTTTCTACTGTAGACATGTACACAAAGTACTTTTACTCTAATACCACATCTCAGATGATCAATATTTGACTGATCATTAAATACAAGAAGATGATTAATTAGGATGTATTGATATATTAATCTATATCACATACATTCATATTAATTCAGTTAAAATGAGCTCCACCTTTAAAGTTATGAACACATTAACTGATCAATAATTATAACACCCTTTGTGCTACATAGTGAGTACTTTTACCTTCAGTACTTTGAGTTGATTCTGACGCTAGTACCTTGTATCTGAGTATTTCCAACCAGTAGTATAAATACTTTTATCCACGTTTGAGGGATATTAAAACATATGATTCTGACCTAAAGGGTTAATGTTCAAATAGAACAAGTATTATTATTGACAGGAAGTCGCCTTGCCTTTCAAAATAAAGCTGAATCATCTCTGAACTCGTCTGCAGAGACTTTAAGATTCATGTTGTAATACTTTTATGGTTTTTACTCATTATTGTCTGTTGCTAAGCAACCGCGCTGAGGTAGATAGAATAACTGAGCACATGAGCACATTAACTTATTATCATGTGTACGATAATACTTCATATGCGTGTCTCCATTCGTTACAGACGGCTGTCGGTAACCACGGTGACAAGACATCATGACGGGGTTAGCAAGCTAGCTAGCAGGAGGCTAACAAGCTATGTTTCATGTTAACTTTCTCTCTCTCGTTCTGTCATCTTGAAGTACAAGTACCCGGACTGTGTACTGAAGTATACGGTTACTAGGGGGAACCAGCAGGAGGACGTGTCCTAGTCTGACCGTCTTTGTCTCTTTGTGTGGGGACATAAATGATGGTTAGACGTCACCGAGGAGGCTGTTAGTAACGGTCAGCGCGTCTCTACAGGATCACAACTACAATCACACACACACACACACACACACTGAGACACAGACACACACACACAGACACACACACACACACACTGAGACACACACACACAGACAAACACAGGCAGACGAGGAAGTGTCCAGGTTCTCACGCAGTGAGGTCATCGATGAGGTCATCGCTGGCTGCGCTACCTTTGGTTACTTTCCTCCTTTCCTTTCCTTCCACTTTCCTTCTTTCCTTCCATAATTTAATTCCTGTGTGAGTGTGTGTGTGTGTGTCTGTGTGAGCGTGTGTCTGTGTGTGTGTGTGTGTCTGTGTGAGCGTGTGTCTGTGTGTGCGTGTGTGTATCGTCGGCTGTTATCTGGCCTCACATACATGTCACCACACCCAGAAAGAAGTTGTTGACGTTGTGATTGACAGCTCCTTTCCTGACCTCGTACCCTCCCTCCCTCTTTCCAACCCTTTGTGTTCTAGTGTCCCTGTTTCTTGTCACCTCTACCTATTGTTTCCTTTCTCTAATGTGCTTCTTCCTTCTCCTCCTTTTTATCCTCAGCTTTCCTTTTTATTCACCAATCCCTTTTCTATCCGTCCTTATTCACTTTGTTCCTTTCCTCCATCTTTTTCTTCCATGCTTCCTAATTCACTTCCTTCCTCATTCTGCCAACACAGTTCAGCTGCTGTCAAATACTTCTGTTGTCATGACAACGGGTTGTAACATCCCAAGTGGTTGTCATGACAACAGAGACACTGCTCCCTCATTTCCTTCCCTGCCTCCTTGTGTTTTCACTGTGCGATCAGCTGAGAGCGAGTCACATGACCCGGCGTGAGGCGTTTAGCTGCATCTTTTAGCCGTCGTAATGTGGCGACAGGAAGTGTGTGTCTACCAGCAGACACACACTTCATCTACTTAATCTGTTTCACAGTGTTGTTTTTTTCATCCACCTTCTGTAGTTTTGTACACGTGAGGAATTGACACTAAAGAGTCTTTGACGCACATTGCCCCCCTGCTGCTCTCACAGATAAGAGGTGCGGCCTCCCGCCTGCTGCAGGGACCCATGAACCAGCCACACTGGTCTGGACCAGCTGGAGGCCACAGACCAGGGGGCTTCTGGGAGGGCGGGACCTGACCGGGGGGGTCGAGACGAGGGGTTTCACCCTTTTGCCAGATTTTACGATCATTTCAGATCAATATGACCAAATCAATAAGTGATGATGTCACAGTCGTTACTCGCATTAAGAGGAGTATTCATCACCTGTCTGTGGTGGGATTGGAACCATCGACCTGCTTCTATTGGCGCAGTGAGTCTCAGTGAGGTTCTATTGTGTAACATGGAAATGACTCATGAGCACAGAAATAGAGGAGAGCCCACGCTGCCTCTGAGGCGTTCAGGGGCCGTAGGAAAACACAGACGCTCTTACACCTGTTCAGGTACCCGACCAATCAGAGAGCACAGTGTACAAATACTACAGAGGAAAGGTACTCATACCAGTGTACAAATACTATGTTAGAGTAAAGGTACTCATACCACAGTGTACAAATACTACAGAGGAAAGGTACTCATACCAGTGTACAAATACTATGTTAGAGTAAAGGTACTCATACCACAGTGTACAAATACTACAGAGGAAAGGTACTCATACCAGTGTACAAATACTATGTTAGAGTAAAGGTACCCATACCAGTGTACAAATACTACAGAGGAAAGGTACTCATACCACAGTGTACAAATACTACAGAGGAAAGGTACTCATACCAGTGTACAAATACTACGTAAGAGTGAAGGTACTCATAGCACAGTGTACAAATACTATGTTAGAGTAAAGGTACTAAAGCTACAGAGTACAAATACTATGTTAGAGTAAAGGTACTCATACTACAGAGTACAAATACTATGTTAGAGTAAAGATACTCATACTACAGAGTACAAATACTATGTTAGAGTAAAGGTACTAAAGCTACAGAGTACAAATACTATGTTAGAGTAAAGGTACTCATACTACAGAGTACAAATACTATGTTAGAGTAAAGGTACTCATATTACAGAGAACAAATACTATGTTAGAGTGAAGGTACTCATACCACAGTGTACAAATACTACGTTAGAGTAGAGGTACTCATACTACAGAGTACAAATACTATGTTAGAGTAAAGGTACTAAAGCTACAGAGTACAAATACTATGTTAGAGTAAAGGTACTAAAGCTACAGAGTACAAATACTATGTTAGAGTAAAGGTACTCATACCAGTGTACACATACACTCTTAGAGAGAGCTATTCGTACTACACAGTACAACAGATACTCTAGAGGAAGGTACTCACACTACAGAGTACAAATACAACCTTATAGTACACGTACTCGCGCGATGTCCTATTGCTATTCTACAGTAAAGGACTACATTGGTAGAACTACTCTGCTTATGATCCACAATGTACAATGTATCCCTTAGTGTAAAGACCCTAATACAAGATACTGATACTGTAAAAGTATGATTACCACATTGTACAAATACTGCTAGAAAGCATTCCCAAAGTGCAGCATTAGCATATAATACTTACAGGATCAGTACAGTTAGGACCAAAATAGTTCATCCACTGCATACACACATAGACACACACTGACTAACACACACACACACACACTGACTAACACACACACACACACACATGCATAAACTGACACACTGACAAACACACACACACACACACACACACACAGGAGCTTCTAGCTCCCTCAGGACTCTGGACTCTTTATTCTCAGCTTCAATGGGACGGAGAGTCATCACATCATGGTCACATGACCTGTGACCTTTGACCCCCATCAACGTATTCAGCTGTGGCTTTCAGCAATAACTTCAGACTACTTTAACTACCAAAAGCAACAGTGTTCTTCATACAGGATGGCTCGTTTTACAGTATTTTAATACCATCATCACCTTCATCTTCATCATTATTGTGACTGCGTCACGTGAGCAGATACACGTGGTGCAGTAAAAGTACAACTAGGACATGGGTGTGCCCTGAGGTAAAATACTTCTTTGTAGTTGAACTGTACTTGTGTGTGTTTAATACATAGATAATACAGATAGTACCGCCAGAGAGGAGGCAGGGGCAGATGTTCCATGCTGGGTGAGGGGGGGTGTTACATAAAACCCTCCCCTAATCCTCCCTTCATCCTCCATCCTCTCCTCCTCCGTCCTCACCTCCTCCATCCTCCTCTCACCTCCCCGCAGCGATTTAATAACTTCACCCCACGTTAACTCGAATACATCTCTTATTTATCTACGTCCCATGGCGCGAGACGGGGAGACAGAGACAGAGAGACGGACGGAAGCTCCGTGTGGAGCGGGCATTGGAGCCGCTTCCCCCGGCGGAGACGAGGCGCCGGCTCCCCCGGACCAGGTCGCCCAAAGCCCGGGAGAGCGTCTAACCAGATCCCCGCTGAAAACACGGTCATTTAAGCACGAATACATTTCATGTATCTGTATCGTAGCGCGCGCTCATGTCCCTGAACGCACCTCGGCTCTAATGTCCTATAACGTGAGTCCTTATTAAGAACATCCCCACAGCCCGACGGGCTCCTGTGTTAGAGGCGCGGAGGCTTTTTAACTCTCAGTAAAAGAAGTGTACTCGAGCATATATGACGTGGTATCCATATATCAGGGCGTCCGGGCGGGATATCACAGGTGATATCTGAGGTCGCACGCGCAGAAACACGTAGAAAGCCTCTCACCTGTTTGTTGTTGGTCACAGACATCCAGCAGCTAACTGAGCCTCTCTGCGCGCGCGCCCGCATAGAGACCCGGAGGGCGCGCGAGAGTGCGCGCGCCCGCGCCTGGGAGTGATAGCAGCAGTGTGTGCGTGTGTGTCTCTCTCTCATATATATATATATATGAGATATATATATTTATATATTTTATATATATATATATATATGAGATATAGATATTTATATATTTTATATATATATATATATATATATATATATATATATATATATATATATATATATATATTATTATATTCCTTGTATCTTATATTACATCTGTGCTGAGTCTCTGGAGAAGATCCACTCTGAGATATAAAAAAGTTCTTCATTTAACTAAACACAGTTTTAATTTTGGCAACAAGATCATCATGAATCTGATATCTGAGGTTGATTGAACCTACATTAGATTCTATAATAAAACACGGTGTTATGTAATATAATGTATTGTACTATGTTGTAATGTAACGTGAAACCTACAACTAATCTAACTATCTAACAACTAAGTGCTTCAAATGCTTTAGTCTTTACATTTGGTCCATCTTTACACACACGCACATATATATATATATATATATATATATATATATATATATATATATATATATTTCTCTGTTTGGACTAGACAAAAAGCCTGTGGCCTTAATGTGAAGCTGAACGGCTCCATTCAGAGCAGCAGGTCAGAGAGGAGAACCAAGCTGAGGCCTCCACCCCCCTCGGGTCTCAGGACCCTTTTTTTCTGGACCTTAGTGTTAGAAGCACTTTATTGCAATTAGGGCTTTATTGCTTTTAACACAAGTAAACACGTTTTATTGTGAAACTCTAAAACACGAGGCTGCTTAAATCTAAGCTTCCTGTTTCTCTGACCAATGATTTAGTTATATGTATAAAATGACTATGTGTTAATAAAGAGGCTTTCTACAAAATAAAGATATAGTAAAGACTCCTAAGCCAACAAAGCTGTGAGGTCAGTAATGAACTAATAGTAAATGATGGACCATTAACGGTCTTTATTATGGCCCCGTTGTGGTCTCAGGGGGTCCAGGTGATCACCCTCACGGCGGTCTGAGCGGCCCTCCGGATGTCCAGGTCCTCCTCTGCCGCCTCGCTCCTCCTCACCAGCAGGGGGAGCTGCTCCAGCAGGAGGCGGCGGCCCAGCGGGGCCTCGGCCAGCGTTGTCAGGGCCCTGAGGGAGAACATGATCAGGGCCTTCCTGCTCCTCTCCTCCTGCTGCTCCTGGTCCCTCGTGACCAGGTCCAGGAGCATGGGGATGACGTTCAGGTCCAGACACCGCTGCTTGCCTGCAATCACACTCTGTTACCTGATTGGTCTGAATGGGTCACATGGTGCGTTTAAGGTTCAGTCCGAAGGAAAGACTCGCTCATCTAGAGGAAACTACTGCTACTCCCAGGATGCATCTCACCAACAAACATCCTTCAGCCTTTTTTAAATCAAGTCATAAGCCTCCATAGCAACACTGCTGAGGCTCATGAGTGTAGTATTTGATCGTCACGGTTACCACGGGGGGCGGTGTACTTGTACCTGTCGTGATGACGCCAGTGTACATCAGGACCCCGGCAGCGTTGGCCTGAACCGCCACGTCTCCGTCCTGCAGGAGCTCCACCACCGCAGGAAGCAGCGCCTCCTCACACACCCGGCGCCTCCCCTCCTCACAGGCACTGGGGTGTGAAGTGTTTCTTTAAAGGTGTGTGTGAGGTTCTTGTCCTTCTGTTATTCAAATATACTTCATCTAATGTAGTAATACACAGAAGTACTTCATGAAGACACTTCTTAACATCACTACTGCCCCTTTAAGATGCACTACGTCTTGTCAAAAGGAGTTAAAGTGTTCAATAGCTCCCGAAGTCTCAGGTGAGGTATATAGACTGAATGGAGTTGAAGCGTTGAGGGGTTGAAGTCTCAGGTGAGGTATATAGACTGAATGGAGTAGAAGTGTCAGGTGAGGTATATAGACTGAATGGAGTTGAAGCGTTGAGGTGTCAGGTGAGGTATATAGACTGAATGGAGTAGAAGTGTCAGGTGAGGTATATAGACTGAATGGAGTTGAAGCGTTGAGGGGTTAAAGTGTCAGGTGAGGTATATAGACTGAATGGAGTTGAAGCGTTGAGGGGTTAAAGTGTCAGGTGAGGTATATAGACTGAATGGAGTAGAAGTGTTGAGGTGTCAGGTGAGGTATATAGACTGAATGGAGTAGAAGTGTTGAGGTGTCAGGTGAGGTATATAGACTGAATGGAGTAGAAGTGTTGAGGTGTCAGGTGAGGTATATAGACTGAATGGAGTTGAAGCGTTGAGGGGTTAAAGTGTCAGGTGAGGTATATAGACTGAATGGGAGTAGAAGTGTTGAGGTGTCAGGTGAGGTATATAGACTGAATGGAGTAGAAAGTGTTGAGGTGTCAGTGTGAGGTATATAGACTGAATGGAGTTGAAGTGTCACAGTATCTTTAACCTGAGGGCCATCAGCGCTGCAGACGCCTCCCTGCGGATGTTGGGGGAGAGGTGGGAGAGTCGCCCCCCCACTAGCAAGACAGCGTCACAGGCAAGAGCGGGCAGGGCGTCGAGCCTGGAGCAGGAGGTGATGGTGGAGAGGAGCAGCACCTCCTCCACCTCTACCTCCTCCTCCATCACCTGTCTAAGCTTCTGCATCAGCTTAGGAACCAGAGTCAGCAGAGCTTCTGCACCTGCATGGTTTAAAACTCACGTCAGTTGAAGTGCAAGCACATAGACAGAAAAAATGTCAGATAAATCAAAGATGAATTATGAAAAAGATCAAAATACGAGAAGAACAATAGAAGTAAAACTATCAAATCTAGAGGAGAATTAAAGATAAAAGTCAGACGTTATGTGGCCGATGGTTATACATCGAAATATATAGATATTAATGTATATACAACAATATAAAAAGTATAGTCAATTATTATATGTATATTGCACATTTATTTACTCTGATATCATGATCAGAGACATTCAGCTATCCGTGGTGTGAAAACACATTTTAAAGGAAACTTGTGAAAATATGAATGTATTCAGTTAAATAGTGTTAATTAGATATTTAACAATATAAGAAACACGTAGCGTAATAACAATCACAACTTCAAGATTATTTTGTCTGACTGAATAATCAATAGCTGTGATCGGGTGGGAGGAGCTTACCTTCCGGCAGCAGAGCGAGGCTGTTCAGCACAAGGAGGAGGCTCCTCCTACAGGAGGAGGAGGGGTCATCCATCAGCAGAGCGAGAGGATGGAGGAGGGAGGAGGACAGCAAGGCCTGTCTGCAGGAGGAGAGACACGCTGTTACCCCCCACCTGCTGGAGACTTCAAGTACTACTAGTGGTACTACTGCAAGTACTGGGGCTCCTTCTGACTCAGTCTCACATAAACTCGTTAGATGAACACTCGAGGATTAATCCGCTGCTGAAAATAGTCCCAACAAATCTATCTCCTACTGATGGTTCATTATATATAAAGAGCTGTCTGTCCCTCTCCCTCCTGTCTGCCTGCTGGTCTCTTGTTTGTCTACCTGCTGATGCTGTGTGACGTCATCAGGTGAAGCAGCTCACACGTTTTGGTTCTGACTGAAGGATCTTCATCAACAAACAAAACCTTCAGCTGCTCCAGAAACCCTGCATGAGAAGAGGACATGGAAGGAGACGTCAGCAGGTTTTATTGTTTTTATTTGTGTACTTGTACATTCAACTCTAGATATTATATATACAGTTATGTGCATGGAGCCGTTACCCCCCCGGACGGCCTGGTACACCCGCTCCGGGTCCCTCATCAGCCCGCAGAGCGACGCCAAAGCCCGCAGCCTCACTTCCGCTTCCGGTCGCATCAGCTCACCGAACAGCTGCGGCACCGCGCGCCGGCCGAAGGCTACCGGGGCCCGGGTCCAGTCCGCCGGAGGACCGGCCATCCGCCCGCCTATGACTAACGAAACAGGCCAGTCAGAGAGCTAAGCTAGCCCTGAGCTAAGTGGGCCAAGGGAACGGGGAGGAAACGCAGCAACGCGGTTGCTTAGTAACCATATACAGGAAGTCGGTGTAGGCAACGTCACATCCGGGGGACGTTAACGCGATAGGAAGCTAACTAGCGTTATACTAGCTAACTAGCGTTAGCTACAACACACGCTTTACAACACGGAGGCTGTTCGCTTAAAGGCCGGAGTCACGTGTTTTGTTGAAGACGACCTGGAGAGTCACGTGTTTGTGTGTGGAAGTCGCTGGTTGCTTTATTTATGTATCATAGACTTTATTGCCCCGTGCATCCACACTGCTGCTTTCCATCAAGGACACATTTGTCCCGTATTTTCCTCCACGACTTTGCGTCTGCGTGTCCTTAAAGCATAAACTAGGCTTTAGTTATACAGCTTTCAAATAGATGTTTGACCTTTTCATTTAAAACCTATGTAAAATAAACCGAACTCTTAATGTTACTGACAGTATACATTTTATTGATCTGAATGTTCGGAGATCGACATGTTGATTCAAATTGAATAAAAGATTTCTAAATTACGATCTCGCCACAAATTATCAAAATCTCATGTGATAGTAAATCAAGTGGAAATCTTTCCACTTAGGAGTCGTTTTGTGTGTGTTTATATTTTTAATACAAAATAATAGTGATGGCAAAGTGAAGCTTTCCAGCCAATTGTATCGGAAAAAGGTTCATTCAATGCATCTCAAACTCTATGATGACGTCTGCTGTTGAAAACTTGTAGTGCAAATGTATCGAATAACCCGCCAGTATATTTTGGCCCAATCTCTGATTATGAAAAGATGAACCAATAAATCATCTAATAAATACATGGATTCCTATATGAATAAAACTATTGTTTTTCAGGTTTGAATTGTGTCCTTGTTTGTGTATTTCAATTCTCTGTACATTAGAAAGAAGTTTAACAAACACATATCTTTCTGCACCTTTGTGCGTGTATGTTTGTGATCATACTAGCAGAAGAATTAATTGAATATATATATAGGCAATATAATTTAAAATACCAGCACGTGCTTCCTACTGCATGTGCAGGTCATGCAGTCACAGGGACTCATGTGGATTGTTTGAATGTGGGAAGTGATTGACAGAGGAAAGGTCAGTGGGGCAGTGATCGTGCTGACAGGTTTCTTATGACAGGATAATGAGGTGCTTGTGGACACGTGGGATGGGGCATGAAACTAGTGATTTTTATTGAGAAACACAATTTTCTCCACAGTATTGGGGTTGAGTCGGTTTCTTAGATACTGTTTCCCCAGCTTTAGAAAAAACGCGCTCACACGACACGATGAGGCAGGAATGCACAAATGATTACACATGTTTGTGTTGGACCCAATATTTTAGCAGTTCTTCACTCCAATGAATGTTTGATTCAGCCAAATATCGGGTGGTCTCCACAATAAAAATAAACATCCATAATTACAGGATACAAATGACAGACTTTGCCTGCCAACCGTGTTAGAGGAAATCAAATTGAAGAGCTGCCACATCCCAGAGCGACCTCGCTCTGCCACAGGTTCCATTGGAAATTTGCTCTTTGCTACGACTACTAGTAGTACTACTACTAGTACAACAACAACACTGACTGTGACTGCATCAAACAGACAAGCCCGAACCCTGTTTCCAGCCCATTGAATCCAATGGAAGCGGTCACGTGACTGTGCGCCGGATCGAAGCTTCGGACGTCACTGATCACGTGATCAGCACCGATACGTTTTCTTCGCCGTGCACTGGTTCATATTTCGACACAAGCTTCGAAGCAGGAGGGTCGGAGGAAACAACGCTACAAAATAATCTCATTCGTTTATTAATGTCTGAAATACAAAGTGACGCTGTAAAAAAGGATGAATAAAGATTATTTTATTCATGTCTTCAAAAGCGACACAACTAAATAATATAAAGGTTTGAAGAGGAAACAGATGAACCACATTCAGATTAGAACTAAAACCCCAAAGAAGGAAAACAGGAAATAGTTCAGATTCCGACGTCATAATTAAAAAGGAAAAGCGGTGGTTTATTGTTTCTATTTCTTCTTCTTCTTGCTCTTCTTGCCTCCCTCTCCCTGCTGAGCGCTGGCGTCTCCTCCTCCACTCTTCTGAGTCCGGGTCTTTAGTTTAGGGATCATCTCTGCTACGTAGAACATCACCTCTCTACCTGAAGGGGTGAGAACACAGAACAGTCGCTTCAGGGAATGCAGCTCCAACACATGAAGCTCCGTCTGACGAGGACTTACGGGACGTAAACTTGTCCATACAGAAGCTTCCGTCTTCCTCCTTCACCTGAACTCTGACTCGCCCTCTGAACTGCACGTCTCGGTTCCACTCTCTTGGATGCATTTTGTTCTGAAAAACACATTTTGATTCAATTACACATGTAATCATCACTGAGCGACACTTGTTCTCCTGCTTCTTACCTCCACGTAGACATTCAGCCCGGCAGCCATCAGCACGTCTCTGATCTCAGCGCAGGACGGATTCTCCACTGCCTGCAGATGGAAAAACAGACCCTTTAATGACATGACTTTAATTTGAATAAACTTCATAATCATAATTTAATAGCGGCTCGTGGTCCGCTAACGACCAGCGGCTTGTTTACAAAGATGGCGGCACCTTCTCTGCTGGGATCCTTCGTCCTTCAGCCAGAGTCTTCTTACTGTTGATGTAGATCGGATAAACGCAGATGAACCTGGAACACACACACAAATAGTGGGAAATTATCCAATGACTCTTGAGTCGCTGTGGCCTTTGACCTCGCAGTCCTGATGACCTCCTCCTTGTTTCATAGAAAAAGGGAAGTCAGTCAATCATCTAAGAATCGTCTTGTGAAACTAATTTGAATAAAACAGCAAACAGAAAAGTCTTCAGTCGTAATCTGAAGCCCCGGATGGCCTCAGCAGACCGCTCGGTCCTCCTGCCGGTCTCAGAGTCTGAGCAGCTTTCTGGGAGTTTGTTGCAGATGTGGAGCAGAAGGACTGAAGCTGGTCTCCGTGCTTGGTCCGGACTCCAGGGACAGGAAGGAGTCCCAGAGGGCCTTCAGGTAGCAGCAGGTCAGATGTGTAATTTGACCCTGAACCATCTAACGGCAGTTGGGGAGGACGTGCTCCTCCTCAACGCCAGTTTAGGGCCAATAGAAAGGAATATAAACCATAACCTTCTTGCTGATGTCGGTCGGTCTCCGGTCTTTGCAAACGCCAAATCCACCAGAACGAGAGAGGTCGTTTGTCTGAATCCTCCCAGATGTTCCCACGCGGGCGTCCAATTTAGATCACGTTCTTTAGTTCTTCTTTCATATACTTGTGTAGGTTTGTGTGATCTGCAGAACTCTGACGCGCGCGCGCGCGCGCACGCTCCGTTCTGATACACGTCACGCTACGTGACACCAGACTTACCGGGAAACGCGCGTTTCTGGATCTCCACACGTCTCAAAACTGTCATTTTCAAACGTTTTCGCAGTAATCGGGATTTATTTCGCTGACCAGAGACGTCGGTTTACGACAGTTAAACTAGTTGACGTCACTCCCACAATCCCTCACTTCGCTCCAACGTCGCATGTTTAAGTGACGCACACGTTCAGGCGTCGAGCGTTAACGGGGATTTACATCTAAAACGCAGAGTACAGACCGACCATTAACTTCACGACGTTCGAACACGAGTCATGTTCGCAGATATAAAGTTATGTTTAAATTCACAGGTGACCGTTAGCATCGCTGTGCTACACGAGTAGCCTGTGGAGGCGCTCACCTGTCTTTGTCCGCGGGGTTTTCAGTGAGATGAGCCATGGTCGGACGGTCGAGTCTCATCCGGATAAAACGACCAACGACGCGGTTTGATTACGGTACAAAACACGCCGCCATCCGGCTGCTTCTTCCCCCGGTAGTGTCCGCCCTGCAGGCACGGGACCGGCTGATAACCGCAGAGGTGCGTTTGATTCCTCGTCTTCGTTGGTTGGTTGGCGGACTACAACCAACGCGGAAAGTCCTTACCGCCACCTACCGGGGTGGAGGTGTACCGGCGTGTCTTTATGACCTTTACAAATATTGTTATGAATTCAAACAATACGGTAATTAGTTTGCTGGGTGTTGCACAAAAGTAGAATAAAGAAATCCTGGATAAGTGAAAAGGCGCCGCTTGACTTAATGGGTTGCATGCTTGCCGAGCCAGGATGAGAACAACCTGGAGCTCAACGCTCTAAAGACAGTGGAGGTGGTTGTGGATTTCAGGAAGAACAGAGCCCCACCCTCCCTGAAGAAATCCAACCTGCCAGAGACGATGATGGTCCACTTCTACACGGCCATCACGGAGTCCGTCCTCTGCTCCTCCATCAGCGTCTGGTACGCTGCAGCCACAGCCAAGGACAAGGGCAGGCTGCAGCGTGTCCTCCGCTCTGCAGAGAGGCTGATCGGCTGCAATCTGCCGTCCCTGTAGGACTTGTTTGCTTCCAGGTCTCTGAAGCAGCTAAAAAGATGATAGCCGACCCCTCTCACCCCGGACAAAACCTGTTTGTGCCCCTTCCATCTGGCAGGAGGCTGAGGTCCATCAGAACTAAGACCTCATCACCAGAGCCGGTCCCCCACTGACTGACTCTGACATCCCACCGGTCACTCCCCTTCACACTGCACACGCCACTTTCTGTTCGGCAGCTGTAATTGAACAGAGAAAAGCCTGGCAGACAATCACGGACCGACTGAACGCGGAAGGATTTAAAAATATCAAAGCTATCTAGAACGACGCCAGAGGTCCGTTTCAAGAAGCGGGTTTAGTGTAAACTCAGAGATGAGGGAAACTCTGGCTTGTTTCACAAAGGGACGTAACTAAAGCTGAGGGTCAGTTACCATGGTAACTAAAGCTGAGGGTCAGTCACCGTGGTAACTAAAGCTGAGGGTCAGTCACCGTGGTAACTAAAGCTCAGGCTGTCACCATAGTAACTGAGCCTGTGAACATCACCTGGTCGGGAGCAGGTTTTCTTTCTCCTTTCACAGGCTTTTCTTTCTAATTACGGGTTCATACTCGTACGCTTGCATTAATATGTGCAGCTCAATAGGGAATATATATATATATATATATATATATATATATATATATATATATATATATATTTAGTGTTTGTGGTAGTTGTCTTGGTAACTGGTAGTATCATGGCTCCATTCATGCTGCCTTCATACTGTGATGCTGCACGCGCTCAACTTGATCGATTTGAGCGGATTGAACCGGATAGAGTCGATTGAACCGACTCTAAACAGCTGTTCAGAAACCAGAAACTCAGAGTTTCACATCTCAGGGTGAATCAACTCAGTTTAGGGTTTGACTCAGAGTTTGTTAAACCTCCTACTTGAAACGGACCCCTGGATTGACTAAGCTCCCCCTTCTCCTCCCGGCTCGGCAAACGTGCAGCCGATTAAGACACACTGAGTCAAGCTGCACTTCTTCACTTATCCAGGATTTCTTTACTCTACTTTTGTGCCCTCAGACTTTAGTTCAACTCACAACGTGTTATGTAACAATACATCTGTAGGTTTCTGTCTCAGGTAACCGCCTCTCATTGGCTGGTCTTTAGGGTTGACCCGCCTACCTCACTTCTGCCCCCCTGATTGGACTCGCCTTAACGCGTCACGATAGCCTTATTCGCTGTAGACTTTTGGCGGGGCGGAAGCTGCTTCTTCAAAAACAAAACAAAACAGCGCCGCAGAGCCGTCAAAAGAAAGAAGCTCCGTTCTGAGGATGGACGCCCGAGAGGCTCATGGCGACGTGGAGGCGATTTCCCAGAAACTGGACGAGTGAGTACTGCTAATCTCCTAGCTAACATTAGCATCAGTGCTACCGCCCGCCGGTTAACTTTGCTATAGCTTTAGCCTCGGTCATGCTAACTGTAGCTTTAGCCTCGGTCATGCTAACTGTAGCTTTAGCCTCGGTCATGCTAACTGTAGGTCCATGGGAATGAGTCAGTAACAAGAATACGATCCTGCTGTTAAATGGGGGGAAGTATGTTATGTGTATTAAAGTAGTTGTATTGCTCTTAAGTAAAAATACAGTACAGTACAGTGGAGAAGTGAGGTATTATATACTTTTAGAAATAAACATTATACAAATATTATATAAACGTTTTATTAATTTTAGAGCGATTCTAATAAGCAAGTAAAAACAAAGGTGCGACCCATTTCTCACATAGATTCATCTCGATACACTTTCAGTCAAGATCAATATTCAACGTTAAATACATGTAAAGATAAGCGATGAAGGCATCTTCTCCACCAATCAATCATTATCAATTCATGACCCCGAAGATTGATCTGCAGGCCCTTGTACTATTTTAATATGTGTACTTTTACTGCCGATAAGCTGATACGTCTCGTGTACTTACTTGGGTATTTGTACATCACATGCATGTGAGTGTAACCCTGAGCTTGTCTCTTCAGGTGTTTATCAGTGGACTCCGACAATGAGATGAACACCTACAACAGGTAAATCATTGTACTAGAACAACATCTCCACCGTGTTAAATGTGTTCTAACTACTTTAGATCTCAATGTACTGACAAATAAATACTTTTTAGTCTATACTTGGTTTATACTTGGTTATACTTACCGTAAATTCCGGACTATAAGGCGCTACTTTTTCCCCACGCTTTGAACCCTGCGGCTTATACCGCGGTGCGGCTACGGGCTAATGGTGCGTTCACACCAAAAGCGAAGCGAATCATTCGCGTGAGTAGATTCCGTGTAAAGTCAATGCACAGACGCGTGAATGAGGCGAATTTTAATCAGGCGGCGCGTGGGACGCGAAACGAGTGAAGCGAATAAATCTCCTTTTATATTATATTTGCCCGACGCTGTCTAGCGAAAGCCAATCAGTGTTGAGATGCTCCGCACATCATCGCCGCCGTCCTGCTGCCACAGCGTGAATACACGTTATTAAGCGGCCACACACACGCAGACTGGACGCCTGTAAGTTAGTTTGTGTGTAACCGAGAGACGCACCAATCCGACATCAGGTCATCAGACCGGCTGCTGGTCCGCCTGAAGCAGCCTGGAAGCCGCAGTCATCCAGACGCACTTCCTGGAGGAGTCGGTGACATTCAAGCTGTGTGCGGCGACGGATGACGTCATGAACCAGAACACAACGCCGTTTGTGGTTCCAGCCGAGAGCAGAAATTGTGGTTAAATTGTGAGTAAACTCGCGCGAGTAAAGCGGGGCGACAATTCGCTTCGCTTTTGGTGTGAACGTAACGCAAGAGCGAGACAGAGCGGCGCAAGTTACGGGCAACCAACCAATATGGCTGTCGGAGAAGACACAGAGCGGCTGCACGTAAACCTTCCATTAATGAATCAGTGGTGAGACGTTGGAGAAGAACTCGACTCTGCCGCGTGGACACCAGCGGCTTATATATGTACACATCTTTTTTTTGTTCAAAATGTGTGGTGAGGCTTATATTCAGCTGCGCTCTATAGTCCGGAATCTACGGTAGTTTGTTTTCGTATCGTGAGTCGACCCAAACAGCTCAAATCATTTCTGCTTTGTTGCTTTAATTGGTAAAACACCAAAAGGTGTTGTATGTATACACACACATTACACATTACACATTATATATATATATATATATATATATATATATAATCACACACACAGTGTATATGATCTAAACACTGATTGGTTGTTTACAGTGTCACATGATCATAGATCGTAGACTACAAACACGTTGTTTGATGTCGTCATCATCACTGAGTCTACTAAATATAGGAGTATAATTCAATGTTTTGTCGTAAGGTAAATAAGTATGTTTTAGCCTTTGACACCTTTTAGGAACGTGTTTGAATGATTTCAATAAGAATAATGTAATGTAATGTATTCATTCTGAATTGTAAATAATAAGTTGTCTTTGTTTAATAAGGAGACAAAGGGGGAAGCTTTAGTGCTTTAATGACTTCCCCAGAGATGAGAGCACCAAACTGCTCCATTAAACAAACGCAGTACGCTCATAGCCATCGTCGTCTCTTTAATGACCCACAATGTCCTCTTTCTTCCTTTCAGATTGATTCTAGAAGGTAAGGATGCCGGCAGAAGAGGAGACATGAAGGAAGCGCTGAAGTTCTTCAAGCTGGCGTACAACGTCCGGCCGAGCGCAAAGCTCGAGGGCCGCATAACGAAAATCGAGGAGCACCTCGCCCACAACAACTCGGAGGAGGAAGACGACGACTTTGTTGACGTCAACGGCAGCGGCTTGATGCTCTTCAAAGAGCTGCATGATAAGCTGTACGACTACCAGAGGGACGGGGTGGCCTTCCTGTTCAGCCTCTACCGGGACGGGCGGAAGGGCGGGATCCTGGCGGACGACATGGGCCTCGGCAAAACCATCCAGGTGATCTCCTTCCTCTCCGGCATGTACGACTCCGAGCTGGCCAAGCACACCCTGCTGGTCATGCCCACATCCCTCATAACCAACTGGACCAAGGAGTTCGCCAAGTGGACTCCAGGCATGCGGGTCAAAGAGTTCCACGGCACCGGCAAAGGGAGGACCTTGAATCTAGAGAAGGTCCAGAGGCGAAGCGGCGTGGTCATCACCACCTACAACATGGTCATGAACAACTGGCAGCAGCTGTCATCGCACAATGGCAGAGAGTTTACGTGGGACTACGTCATCCTGGACGAGGCGCACAAGATCAAGAACACGTCCACCAAGTCGGCCAAGAGCGCCTACGCCATCCCGGCCAAGAACCGGGTCCTTCTCACGGGCACTCCGGTCCAGAACAACCTGAAGGAGATGTGGGCCCTCTTTGACTTTGCGTGCAACGGCACCCTGCTGGGCACGGCCAAAACGTTCAAGACCGAGTACGAGAACCCAATCACCCGAGCCAGGGAGAAGGACGCCACTCCCGGGGAAAAGGCCCTCGGCTGCCGGATGTCTGAGAACCTCATGACCATAATCAGACCGTACTTCCTCCGCAGGACGAAGGCGGAGGTGCAGAAGGACAAACTGAACAGGGCAAAACGGGAAGACCCAGACGGGCGAGTCCCGAAGGACTCTGGAGCCGTGATGCCGACGCTGAAGAGGAAGAACGACCTGATCGTCTGGACCTACCTGAGCTCCGTCCAGGAGGACATATACAGGCAGTTCCTCTCTCTGGAACACATCAAGGAACTGCTCATGACCACGAGGTCGCCTCTTGCCGAACTCAACATCATGAAGAAGCTGTGCGACCACCCGAGGCTGTTCTCCGCCGCCGCCATAGCCAAGCTGGGCCTGGAGGAGAGTGAGGCCGAGGGCCAGCAGGGCGGCGACCCGGAGCTAGACACGGGGAGCATCGCCAACATCCCCGACGAAACCCTGATATCGGAGTCCGGGAAGCTGGTGTTCCTTATCGCTCTCCTGGAGCGGCTTCGGGACGAAGGCCACCGCACACTGGTCTTTGCCCACTTCAGGAAGGTGCTGGACATCCTCGAGCGCATATTGGGCAACCGGGGCTTTAAGGTGGTGCGGCTGGACGGAACAATCACGCAGATCGCACAGCGGGAGCAGCTCATCACCCGCTTCCAGACGGACCGGAGTTACTCCGTGTTCCTCCTCACCACCCAGGTGGGGGGCGTCGGCATCACCCTGACGGCGGCTGACCGAGTTGTGATCTACGACCCCAGCTGGAACCCGGCGACTGACGCGCAGGCGGTGGACCGGGCCTACCGCATCGGCCAGACGGAGAACGTAGTCATCTATCGGCTGATCACCTGCGGCACGGTGGAGGAGAAGATCTACAGGCGGCAGGTCTTCAAGGACTCGCTCATCCGACAGAACACCGGGGATAAGAAGAACCCCTTCCGCTACTTCAGCAAGCAGGAGCTGAAGGAGCTCTTCATCCTGGAGGACACACGGTCCTCCTCCACCCAACTGCAGCTGCAGGCCCTGCACGCCCGGCACCGGCACACAGACCCCGAGCTGGACCAGCACATCGCCCACCTGCACGCCATGGAGATGTTCGGCATCTCTGACCACGATCTCATGTTCTCCCTCGACGTCAACCATGACGAGGAGGCGCCGGAGGACCAGGAGGCACAACACTACATCGAGGGTCGGGTCCAGAAGGCCCAGGAGCTAATGAAGGCCGAGTCGGAGCTGCAGATGCAGCTGGCGGAGAGTGTGGCGTCCAGCACCGAGGCGGCGTGGTTGCGACTGCCGGGGCTCGGCGACATGGAGCGGCCACCCAAGAAGAGAGATCCCGGTCCTTCCCTTCCGCCCCCAGACCGCAGGCTCACAGGACCCCCCGCAGACGTGGGGGAGTGGGACCGGTCCGGTTCTGACGAGGCGTACGTCGAACAGACCAGCCTCCCGGTAATCGACCTCACCGAGGATGAAAGAACGTCAGAAGATCAGCCTGTTGTTCTGGAAAGTCCTCGAGAAGATCTGCCAGAGCAGAACCTGCCGGTGGACCGGGAGAGGAGCCCCGTGGAACCGGAGAGGGACGCCTCCCTCGACGAGGTGATTGAGGCGTCTCTGGTTGAGGAAACGATGGACCGGTCGGAGGTGGTCGACAGCATACCGGCGGGTGATGAAGACGTCGCTCCGCCGCGGAACCAGAGGCTCTCTCTCCTGAAGCTGGAGATGGAGGCATCGTCCTCTGGAACCGGCTCGGGACTCGAGTCCTTTGAGGGCAACTTCAACTTGGAGCTCGAGGAGAGCGACGTGTCATCAGAGGTTCTGGATCCTCGGGACACCAACGAAGAGGAGGTGAAGCTGCTGTCCAAGCTGCGGTCAGAGGGAAGCTTCGACGTTTACAAATCCCTCTCGGAGAGTCGGCATCAAGAACAACTCGGCCAGAGTCTGGACGAAACGGACCAGTCCATCGTGGGCGCCAAGAAGAAGAGGGCCGCGGTGATTTATGACAGTGAAGAAGAGGACTCAGAAGATGATGAGGGTCAACTCAACAACTCCTTCCAGGTACTTGGAGCCTCCACACCCAAATGTGGCCCCGCCCCTCCTCGATCGAGAAAGAGCGTCGGAGGAAACACCTCAGTGGCCTCCCGCCGGTCCTTCATCATGTCCGTGATCGAGGACATTGACCTCCGACCCACCGACGTGGCTGATGACGATGATGAGGTCTCAGGAACGCACCTGGACGAAGAGGAAATTCTTGGCTCATCTCTTGATGAGCATCGGTGGGAGGACTCGGTGGAAGAGACATCGAATGAGGACCAGGAGGAACAGGAAGTGGGCAGTATCATGGCGCAAGAGGAGGAGCCTAGACAGGAAGTGAGCAATGGAAGCATATAAATATACAATAAATATAATAAATACCAAAATGAAAAAAGACATGAATAAATAAAAGGTCAGGAGAAATCAGGGGTTAAGACTCTGGTTTAGTTACAAACAGATTACTACACTCATGCTGTTACTGTTCTTATGGCCATTTTGTCCAAACAGCATTTACGGTTTTGAATACATTTCAAACTCTTGTTTGGGGTTTGTAAACTAACATTTGCGAATATAACATTTTGCAAATGTTTTCAATAAATTGAGGATATACGCGGTTTCTTCAAGTTCTTTAACAAAACAATCAAAACCTGTTAAAAATATACAAAATGTTTGTAAAAAAAAAAAACACCACTAATATGGAGACATTTTCCTTCTAGAATACTGACTGACAATAAATCAAACTCTTATTGGAGGACATGTTTTGCAGGTTAATACCTGACAAAGTCTCAGAGCCATAAGACATAAGCGTATTCCTAAACGCAGACAGGAGAGCTTAAATGTGGAATAGACTCCTCAAAGGTCATCATAAAACCGTCCCGTTACCCCAGAGGTGGCCTCGTTGTGCTGAGCGGTGTCTTGTGTGTTCACAGGAGGTGAGCTTCTTCTCGCTGGTCTCCAGAGGCAAGCAGAGCCACAGCGAGGGGAAGCTGCAAGAGGCCCTGAGCTTCTTCCTGAGGGCCGTGGACCTGAAGCCTGGAGACCCTGAGGTCCAGCTCATGACCATCCAGCTGTACCGGAGGCTGAGCGAGAGGAGCTGAGGGGGGGGGCATGTGTTAATAAAGCCTTTACGGGCGGTGGAGTGTTTAGAAACAAGGGAAAGAGACAAAGTGGATTAGAATGAATACAGAGTAAGGTTTTTAAGCAAGTTACTTCAAGAAAAAGTTATATTTTAATTGATTTTGAATATTTTGTATTTGGGGAAAACTTTAAATAATATAAACTATATAGTTTATAAGATAAGTTAGTTACATTCAATCTCCTCTCTTGGGATGGATTTTCAACCAATCAGCGGTTTGCGTTTGAATAGAACAAATGATAAGAAAGTTATAGTGTTCGAGGGGGTGCTTGGTTTGCCCCTCTCTACGCCCCGTCGGGCACAAACAGGAGCAGTTGGAACTTTTCTTTCCAGCTCGTGATTATCTTTTTGACGTCATCAGAAACCAACAGCCAATAACTTCTGACTCCACCGGTGAGACTTCAAAATAAAAGCGTACGTCACATTTTGACGGACCAGAGATGTTCGAGCCTGTTACTGTTTTTTCATTATTTAAGATTTTGGATGCATTTTATTTAAACTTGCGGAAGATCGCAGTCTGTTTTTTTAAATTGTGTGTTGTGTGTTTTTTTAAGTGAAATGGACCAAAAATATATAATGCATGAAAAAAAACTAAAGCACGCTGTAGTTCAAATTAATGAGTGTGAGGGGTATTTATTTATCATCACGAAAATGATTTTACAGGCTTATGGAGGCACACAATACGGTATCGTTAGCCTTTAGAAAGTAGTATCATGTAGTGCTGAAAATCAAAAGAAATTTCCACAGCGTTACTGAGTAAATCAGTCATTATATGTTCCCTCAACAATATAACGTTTTTAAAGGTATCATCACTGGAAAAATAATTTCTTGGCATGCTGTTTCCAACTATTCGTGACATGAAGACTTCAATCTCATTGTCATTGTATGGTTAACGAGCGACACTTACTTTGAAGGCCGTGCCCGGAAGCGGTGGGTGTTTCCGCTAGCTTGTTTCAGTTTCCTGCCGGGTTTACGCTGCGGTCAACTCAGACGACGCTTGAACTGTAGTGCACGTGTATGCCGATACTTACGGTAGTGAACAAGTAACCGGAATAAAAGCTATTTAATCAAATATTCTGGACAATGACTGAAGTTTGCGTGTTCAGGACCATTCTGACTACTGTTGTACAAAAAGGAATACTTTTACTGTACAAAGTTAGATAATTATCCTATATTTCAAAGTTCAAAAGGACCATTTCTCAAAGTTTGAACTGCAATAAAAATACTTTTCTCAATAATTCCAGTCAAAGACTAACATACGTGTTAAGGACTTATCTGACTACTATTGTAAGAAAGGTGAAATATTTGTACTGTACAGATTTGGACGTTTCTTCAAAGTAAAAGCCATATAATTGCACGTTCAAAAAGACCATATCCCCATATTTGAAATGCAATAAAAACATAATTCTCAATAATTCCAGGCAAAGACCAGTGTCCTCATGTAAAGGACCTCCCTGACTACTAGCATGCTGAATATGAAATCATTTTACTGTACAGATTTGGAAATTTCACCAAGTAAAAGCCCTATAATTGCACGTTGAAAAATAGTTTGTATGTACTAATATTTATTTTATTGTGCACGAGTTGTCACAACTTGGCTCAAGGGCCATAACAAACGAGGGAACGAGGCAGCATAACGGATGAAAAAGGGATTTATTTTACTAAGGAATCAACGGAACATATATTTTGTAACATAACTTAAATCAAACACGCAGGGTGTGCGTTGCCGTGCAGAGCCGGCCGTGTAGTCCTGGTCAGATGGGCCACTTCCGGGTGCCCCACGCCTGCAATCAACTTAAAGACAACGATGTTTCTACCAGAGAGGTATCACTCCCACGCGGAGGCCGTCACGAGTTGTCTCACATAGTTCCGTCATTGTCCGGAATTTGCTAACTGAATACCCTCTTCCGGTTACGTGTTTAATACCGTAAATGTCAGCATACACGTGCACTAAAAGTCAAGCGTCGGCCGAGTTGACCGCAGCGAGTTTACGAGGAGCGAAATATCTGCTCCGCTCGGTGAGGACGCGATTTACCGGAGCCGGACGGCAGAAGAGACGCTTCACCCACAGCCGGTGTCTCGATTTACGTATTTAACCGCTGGAACTCCAACGGGAGACATTCTGGATTCGACCGGTAGCTAAGCTAAGCTAAGCTACATTTGAAACCCCGCTGGCAGAGGTGACAGGAATGGCTCGGCCGAGGAAGAAAAGCTTTCCGGGTTGTTTGGCATGAGGCTCTGCGGGGGGAGACGGCGGGAAGAACGCGGTACAATCTGCAAAAGTACAGTCGGTATTATTCCAACAAGCAGCGTGAGCCGGTGACATCTACAGAGGAGAAGAAGAAGAAGGAGAAGGAGAAGAAGAAGAAGGAGAAGAAGAAGAAGAAGAAGAAGGAGAAGATGGGAGGCAGAGTGGAGCTGCTGGAGGTCTTCTGTCTGCTGCTGATGAGCGGAAACACACTCGGCAGAGGTGAGGAGGACGAGTACTCTCTGCTACTACTCTGTAGTACCTTGTAGTACTACTGTGCAGTACACAGTCATCAACCTCTGGCTCTTCATTAAATTAGTTAAAGCTGCATTCTGTGTGGTGACCAGCACCATAGACGTCTATGAGGAAATGACTCTACTTCTCTCTTGATTTATTCCCTCAGTAAACATTGTTAACATGAGTTTATGTCTCAGTCTCTAGTTTCACGTCTTCTTCAACACAACATGATGTTCATTTAGTGAATTATGGTCCATTTAGAGTCAAACAGACCATAAAGCAGGGGACGCTTTAGGGCGGGGCTAGACGCTGATTGACAGGTCTCTACTAGACCATGAAGCTTAGAAGTTGTATTCTGTGTCGTAAAACAAACAAGATGACGTTGTGTCAACTTGTTCTTTTTCACTGAACCTTCAACATGTCATTTATCTGACGCTTTTATCCAAAGCGACTTACAATTAGAACATTTAACCCTAAGCACACAAACTCAGAAGAACAAGAAACAGGGAAGTGAAATTTCCTCAAATAAGCGGATGTACAACTTGCTGTAGATAAGAACCGTTATAAGTCCAATGTAAGTGCTGCAGTTAGTTAGTGTGTTAGTGGAGGTAGAGTCTGAAGAGGTGTGTCTTTAGTCTGAAGATGTGAAGGCTCTCTGTGGTCCTGATGTCTTCAGAGACCTCCTTCCACCT